CCCGAGGTCTGGTAAGGCTTCGTTTGTCTTAGATATGCTCTGGCCGTTTTGCTTACCGTTTTCTGCTCGACGTGTTGGGAATCACTGGTTTAGCGCTTCCAGACCCCATCAGAAATTCACAACGCTAAAGAAACAATTCGTACTTAGCTCAGCTTCAGCGATGTTGACCATGTATTGTTGGCGTCTTCAGATCAGTTCATTGTGTTTACCATTACCGTCTACTGCGTCCTCAATTTCTTCTCCTTAACGTCTAATATTTTTCTTCCTCCTCCTCCTCCTCCTCCTTCCTCCTCCTCCTCCCCTTCCTCCTCCTCCTCCTCCTCCCCTTTCCTCCTCCTCCTCCTCCTCCTCCTCTCCTCTCCTCCTCCTCCTCCCCCTCCTTCTCCTACTCCTCCTCCTGCCTTCTCCTCCTCCTCCTCCTCCTTCTCCTCCTCCTCCTCCTTCTCCCCCTTCCTCCTCCCCCTTCCCCTCCCGCTCTGATGTGTTGTGTGTTCCTTCTGCTCTTCTCCGGCCGTTGCTGCTGGCAGGGGTCAGGACCTCCTGGCAGGTTTCGCGCGGGTGGCGGACCGGTGCGACTTGTTATTTTTGTTTTTGCATTTTTAGCTCTGCGCTCGAAACGGGGATGGGAAAGCGGGAGCGCAGACGGCAGGGAAAACGAGGAGCATCCTTCGATAAGGAAGCAACACATACGCGAACAAAAAACAATGGTCCACAACGACGGGCCTACAGTGCTAAACAAACTATGTTAAACACGCTGAAACAAGTAGCATTGTTTAGCGCATTAAACCTTCAACCCGTCCACAGCCCACACCAGAGAAGAACAAAAAGCAATCAGTGGATGGTTTGAACAAGTTGTGTGAGCATCAGAAAGATAGTGAGATCGGCAATCAGCTCCATGATGCGATCGGCAATGAGATCAATAAAAAAAACCTCACTCTATCGATGGATCGAACCCGGAACCGGGAACCCAACAACCCCGCGATCGGGAACGCAGAACCGGGGACCCAGTCGGGAGCGGCCAAAGGGGGGCGTCCAAGAGGGGGGGGTGCAAATCATGGCCGGCGGCGGCATGTGCGCGGCCCAGGGGGGGGGGGGGCCAGGGTCGTAACGGAATAAGAAGAGGCGCCATGAAATCTGGGGAAATATCATGGCCCCCGCCACGATATCCACCCCTCCCCGAACCCAGTGAACCTAGAACCCGGAACCGGGAACCCCTTCAACCCGGAAGCGGGAGCCCAGGAACAAGATCGGCCGCCCACGTTCGCCACATCCTTGCAGACCCGCTATAGGACCTCCTCACAGTGCAAGCGCGGATTGGGGAATGATCCACAACGACGGACCTAAGGGTGCTAAACCTGCCATGTCAGACACGCTGAAAACAAATAGCGTTGCTTAGCGTGTTTGACACGTCCAACGCCCAAGTAGGAAAACTGATAAAAACATGGCGTTGTTTGGCCTAGCCACGCGGTAGGGGCCCTCCTGGAACGAAAACTGCCCAACACCTTCCGTCCTGATTTGTCGTGAGGGCGCAAGCGGGTCTGGGAACGAGCCCTTCCGCTACCGTCGGGGCGTTGACCTCAGGAACCCTGAATAAGGAACGAGGACCCTCTTTTCCCAGAAGGTAAACTTCGATTTCCCATGGAAGCCCTCAGGAAAACCTAAGGCAAACTGCAAAACAAGTCAGGAACTCCGAGCCGTCCCCAACGCAAAGGGTTCCTCCTTCAGCGCCCCGACTGTAAGAGTGACCTTTGGCGCGCGGCTTTTTGGGGGCCGCGGGGGGACCGAATACGAGCGCGCAAGATGCTACCAGCGTATCGCGTTCGGTGATCAGGGGACCCCAATGCGCCTGCACCAAGGGTCACTCCGGCGAAAGGCCACTCTTCTAGGGGGAGAAACAAATGGCATAAACATAAACTGTTAACGGTTCCCTGGCGCGCGGAGCGCGGCAGGGGCGGCGCCGGAGGCGCCGCCAGGGGGGGGTCCCAGGCGCGGATCTAAGAAATCCGCGCAGAACAACGAAAGTTTATGATTATGCCGTGTCTTGTTTTTCGATCTCACGCTTCGGTCGGGCATGTCCTCCTACAGGCGGATTTTGGACGAACATACAGCAGAGAAACAACAACCCACAAATATCCAAACATAGTAGAAAAATCGTGCCAGAACTTACTCCTCCTGTAGAGGGACACGCCCGACCTCATCTTACACCTGTAGTCGAACTCTGCGCCTGCGACGACGCCTTGTTTGTTTTCAAAACGTCGACCCCCAGAGGTCTCGATCCGCTCCCCGGGACCAGTTTGTCATCCCGAATCGTTTTCTGACGCCCCCGAGGCCCGGCGCCGGCCCCCGGAGGCCGAAAATAGCGAAAAGCCTCCCGTGGTGTTTTTGCCACACCGCGAGGGGGTCGGGGTTACGTGTAGTCCACTGGGACGCACAAAAACATACTAGCACTATGTTTTCTCCTTGGAGGCGCGCGTCTGACCCAAACATATCGTATACCCATCTTGTAGTACTTCGTCTCCCGAGCGGTGTGGCCAGAAAGCGCCCGCCACGACGCATATACTAGAAAATTTCTCGGTGCGCGCATCGCCCTTGGGAGGGCAACGCACATATAGTATAAGTATGTTGGGGTGATGCCGATTCAACTCTGCGCCTGCGACGGGGCTGAAAGAAAGAACGCTGATTATAAGGAACGAAGCCCCATTTAGGCCCTGAAAGCGCCTGCGTGCCCGGGGAGGGCAATAGGAACACCGATGCAGGAACCCAAGGAACACCGAGCCCCTTCCGAACCCAAGATTTGAGCAGAGACCGACCGTCCCGGCATTCCTATAGTCCGCCGACCCCTTGTGGGTCTCTAGGCGTGTGAGATAGTTCCCCCCCCCATATTCCCCCCCCAGGGACCCCAAACCGGAGATTTGACCCCCCCCCCCGGGCCCAGCACGAGCGCGTCACGGGGCTCTTTTGGGCCCAAAGGGGATCAAGACGGGCCCAGAAGGCTCCAAGAGGCCTCCGAGACGGCCCACGAGGGCCCCGAGACACCAAACGAGCGCTCCCACACGCCCAAGATGGCCCCAAGACGAGCCTAGAGGCCTCCAAGACGGCCCAAGAGGTCCCCACGAGGCCCCAAGAGGCCTCCAAGATGCGTCCCAAGAGGGTCCCTAGACGCAAACATTGGCCCATTCCCTTCGTAAAACGTATAATTTTCACAAATTCGCTTTCTGGGCTTTCCGACGCTCCAAGGCGGCCCAAGAGGCCCCGAAGACCGCCCCAAGACGGCCCAAGAAACCTCCAAGAGGGCCCCAAGATAGCCCAAGAGGGCCCCAAGACGGCCCAACAAGCGTCCAAGACGGCCCAACAGGGCCCCGAAAAGGGCCCCAAGAGCGCTCCAGGAGCGCCCCAAGTGGCCTCCAAGAGAGCTCAATATGGTCCCAGACAGCCCAAGAGCGATCAAAGACACCGAAGATGGCCTCCTGACGGCCCAAGATGCCCCCAAGAGGCCCCAAGAGGCATCCAAGATGCGTCCCAAGAGGGCCTCTAGACGCAAAAATTAGCCCGTTCCCTTCGTAAAGCGTGCGTTTTTCACAAATTCGCCTTTCGGGCTTTCCGACGCTCCCAGACGGCCCAAGAGGCCCCCAAGACCGCCCCAAGACGGCCCAAGAAGCCTCCAAGAGGGCCCCAAGACAGCCCAACAAGGCGCTAAGACGGCTCAAGCGGCGCCGAAGACGGCCCAAGAGAGCCCCGATGACGGCCCCAAAAGCGCTCCAAGTGGCTTCCAAGAGAGCTCAACATGGTCCCACACGGTCCAAAAGCGATCGAAGGCACCCGAAATGGCCTCCAGATGGCCCAACACGCCCTTGAGAGGCCCCCAAGATGCGTCCCAAGACGGTCCCTGGACGCAGACATGTACGTATTCCCGTCGTGAAACGTACAATGTTCACACATCCGCCTTCTGGGCTTTCCGACGCTCCTAGACGGCCCAAGAGGCCCCGAAAACCGCCCCCAGACGGCCCAAGAGACCCCCAAGACGGCCCCGCGACGGTCCAATATGGCCCCAAGACGGCCCAAGAGGTCCCCAAAACGGCCCAAGAAGGCCCCAAGACGGCACCAAGAGGGGCCCAAGAGGGCAACCAACAATTCAAAAATCTAGCTTTCCGCCCCCACGAGCCCCAGGGGGCCCCAAGAGCGCCCCAACAGGCCGCCAACGGCCCTCAAGAAACCGCCAAGACGCCCCAAGGAGCCCACAATAGGCCCCCAGGAGGCCCCCAAAAGACCCCTAGACGCTTCCGAATTGCGAGCCGTCGCGCCAACTGCAATGCACTCCGCGCGTACAACCTTACTCTTCCTCTCGACGTGCTCACTATCTTGCTCGGCGCTAATGTGCTGCTGCCGCGCGAACTGTTTCGTGCGCGCTGCGAACGTCAACGGCCTCTTCACCCGTTTCGATTCATCTGCCACATATTTCGCTGTGATGCTTCGCTGATCACAGCTTCCACACACTACTCTTGCTCCTTTCGTCTTCCAGTGCTCCTCCACTTGGTTGCGGGTCGAAAGGCCGACCTCCCAGAAGGACACCCCGCACCCGGGTGCACAGCACGCAAAGCGCTCGCAAAACACGCCCCAGACCACCGGCATCACGCAAACATTTGGACCCCCTACGTATCTGCCACCACCCGCGCGCGACACCGCACCCTCACACAAGACGCCGCTGGCCAGAAACTCCTGGCCTCGCAACACTCACAGAAGGGGTCGGCGGATGTGGCGTAAGCCTGTAGAGTCATACCACGAAATGTTCTTAGAACCCATAAATGTTCTAATAACGAAAAAAATGTTCTTAGAACGTAAACTCGATGTGTTAAAACAAGACAACCCTAGCCAGAAATGTTCTAAGAACATTTCGTCGTGGGAACCACACAAGATTCTTAGAACATTGTTAGGTGGGGCTACTGCTTCAAAAATGCTCCTTATCTCGGCGTCTTCACTGCACGTGTAATCCGACCCTGCGCCTGCGCCGCCGCGCCCGCGGCAGCCGCCGCGCCCGCCGCGCCCGCGGCGCCCGCTGCGCCCGCCGAGCCCGCGGCGCCCGCCGCCGACGCGCCGCCCGCGGCACCGGCCGTGGCCGCGGGCGGCCGCACGCCGGCCGCGGCCGCGGCCGGCACGGCCCCGGGCCGCACGGCGGCGACCGCAGGCGCCTGGCGCCCACCTCCACAGGAGGAGGAACGAGGAGCGAGGAGCGAGCAGCGAGGAGGAGCGAATCGGAGGAGCGAGGAGGAGGGGCGAGGAGGAGGAGGAGGAGGAGGCGATAGGAGGAGGAGGAGGAGTGAGGAAGAGGAGCGAGGAGGAGGAGGCGAGAGGAGAAGGAGGAGCGAGGAGCCTTTACCTTTACCAGCTGTTCGTGGTGACCTGCTGCGGGGCGGGGCACGAAAACAAACTCACAGGTCGGGGAAAGTAGCACCCGATTTGGGCGGCAGACCTCGCTTCAGTCTACTCAGGACATCCTTTTCCAGCTTTTGTGTGTGTGTGTGGGGGGGGGGGGCACACTCAAAACGCACATTCTGCGGAACTTAAACGCAATGCCTCCCGCAAACTTCACAAAACGACACCCTTCGGACGGAGGCAAGCTGGTGAGAGGAGTGGCACTGCTCCGCCAGAGGATGACATGGGACACACCCGATCGCAATCGATCGCTAAAACTGTCGATACCGCTGATGGGGCTGTATATATATATATATATATATATACACACACACACCGCAACACCCCGCAGATGCGGATAAGATTGAAACGGGCGGTGGGGACGTCGGCAGTTTGTGAGATTCCAGACGAACCCGCCGCAAACGCCAAAAAATGACAAATTATACCACGAGCCCGCCGCAGGCGCCGATGTTTTGTTAAACCAATGCGGGTGGGTCGCGGGTGGATCGTTGTTGGGTCGCGGGTGTAGATCGATGTTGCCCCCTATCGTGCTAAAAGATCACATCCCAGAAATAATTTCTAACACCCGGAAAAGTGTCAAAAGAGGGCCGAAACAATGTCGGACGAGTGTCTCCCACGGCCAGACACTTGAAAACCCTTGAGTTTTGGGTGCTTTCTCGTGCTCGAAATTCCTTCTGGTGGTTCAGGCTAAAGTAGGTTGGAGCATCACAAGTGTAGATGGCAGAAACTTTAATAATCACCCCGACCAACGAAGCCGTTTAGTAAACGCGCGCAAGGAATAAATCGAACAAGGCAGGGCTGCTTCGTAAAACGCCCAGGGCCGTTTAGTAAAACGTCAATTGCCAGGTCTGGGTGGTCGTTCTTCCATTGAGGGCGGGTCGCGGGTGGGTCGCGGGGTGGGTCGCGGATGGATCGCGGGGTGGGTCGCGGGTGGGTCGCGGGGTGGGTCGCGGGTGGGTCGCGGGGTGGGTCGCGGGTGGGTGGCGGGGTCGCGGGTGGGTGGCGGGGTGGGTGGCGGGTGGGTCGCGGGGTGGGTCGCGGGTGGGTCGCAAGGTGGGTCGCGGGGTGGGTCGCGGGGTGGGTCGCGGTGTGGGTCGCGGGGTGGGTCGCGGGTGGGTCGCGGGTGGGGCGACTACAACCAACAACAAAAACAACAATCATTCTAAGACGGTTCGCTCTTACTTGCCCGTCTGTCATTCAAAATTCCCCACACCCTCGATCGATACCCGCCCTGTTTGTCTTCGATCCCACCCCCTTTGGGGGAATTCTTTCTCTTTGCGGGGGGCGGCGGGCGTAGACAGGCGGGCAAACCTGAACGGGCGGACAATCGTTCGTGGGCGTACATGTGCCCGCCATTGGAATTGGTGTGGGCCCTGCAAAAAGAGGGGGAGAACGAGGGAAAGCGGGAGGAAGGGAGGGGGAGGGACGAAGGAAGAGGGGAAACGCCAGGAGAGAAGGAGCGAACAGGGGGGCGGTTGATTTGAAGCAAAAACAATAGAGATAGAGAGAGAAAGACAGATAAGAGAGGTAGACAGAGAAAGAGAGAGAGAGGGGAGAGAGAGAGAGAGAGAGAGAGAGAGAGAGAGAAAGAAGGAGGGAGGGAGGAGGCAGGAGAGGGGAGGGAGAAGGGAGGAGGGAGAGGATGGAGAGGGGATAGGGCAGAGAGGCATAAGGATGAGGGAAGAGAGGAGGGAGAGAGAAGGGAGGAGAGGAGGGAGGAGGGAGAGGAAGGAGGAGCAGGAAGGTAAGAGCGTGAACGTTCGAGGAAGTCCTGGGCGAAAGTGCCGCTCCTGAAGAAAGTCTCGGGCGGGAGCCCACGACGGGCGGGCGATCCCCTGACGGGCGGGTCGGGCGGGTGGGACATTCAAGCGGGATGCCTGAATATGGCAAGAGCGCGATTCCGAAGTAAGTTGTGACGGCGTACTTGGCACAGCGTGTTTCCTGAGCGTCGAAAGCGCGATTCCTGCATACATTGCATGGAGGTCACAGGCGAGAGCGCAATTCCTGAATATAATGTGAAGGGTTCTCTGGCGACAGCGGGGACTTGATTAAAATGCGAAGAAATCTTGACTCAATTGCGGGGAAGTCTCAAGCGGGAGCGCCGTTCCTGAGTAAATTGTGAAGAAGTCTCTGATGGGAGCGGGGGACCTGACTGAATTGCGACGAAGTCACAAGCAGGGAACACCGATCCTGAGTAAATTGTAAGGAATTCTCAGGCGGGAGCGGAGGTCCTGAGTAAATTTGGAAGAAATCTCAGGCGGGAGCCGTTGTTGTTGTAATCAGGGGGCCAGGGGCACAGTTTGAGCAGCAACACTTTCCCTGTCAACAAACATGGTACGAACGTCGAGGGGCACACGTTGATTGTGAAAAACAGCATGCACCGGTGAGCGGGGATCAACAATAATGATTCTTCAAAAATTAGAATCCAACAGCAGCAACAACAATACTTTTACCCTGATGCGCGATGTTCCCACACGAAGCATGCGACCATCTGGTGGAGATGGGGGCTGTCGGCGGCGAGGCAAGGACCTGGCCCTGGAGGAAGTCTCGAGCAGGGCCGCTGTTGTTGCTGGGAGCGGCGCAAATGCTGAAGAGAGTAGGGCGGTAGTCCAGCGTAAAACAAAACGAAAACTCGGGCGGGAACGCTGGTTTTGTTGGGACGGCGGTTGTCGGCGGCGAGGAGGAACACGGCCTTGAGTCAGAGGGGAGGAGGTCTCGAGCGGGAGCCGTGGTTTTGTCGGGACGGGGGCTGTCGGCGGTGAGGAAGAGCACCGTCCTAAGGAAAAAGGGAGGAAACCTCGAGCGGGAGCGTTGTTTTTGCTGGGAGCGGCGCCAATTCAAAAGAGAGTAGGGCGCCAGCCCAGCGTCAAACGGGAGGACGTCTCGGGCGGGAACGCTGGTTTTGTCGGGACGGCGGTTTTCCGCGGCGAGGAGGAGCACCGCCTTGAGCAAAAAAGGGAAGAAGTCTCGAGCGGGAGCGTTGCTGTTGCTGGGGGCGGCGCCGATGAGAGAAAGAGTAGCGCGCCAGTCCAAGGTAAAAAGGGAGGAAACCTCGAACGGTAGCGCTGGTTTTGTTGGGAGCGGCGCAAATGCTGAAGAGAGTAGGGCGGTAGTCCAGCGTAAAACAAAACGAAAACTCGGGCGGGAACGCTGGTTTTGTTGGGACGGCGGTTATCGGCGGCGAGGAGGAACACCGCCTTGAGTCAGAAGGGCGGAAGTCTCGAGCGGGAGCCGTGGTTTTGTCGGGACGGGGGCTGTCGGCGGTGAGGAAGAGCACCGTCCTGAGGAAAAAGGGAGGATGCCTCGAGCGGGAGCGTTGTTTTTGCTGGGAGCGGCGCCAATTCAAAAGAGAGTAGGGCGCCAGCCCAGCGTCAAACGGGAGGACGCCTCGGGCGGGAACGCTGGTTTTGTCGGGACGGCGGTTTTCCGCGGCGAGGAGGAGCACCGCCTTGAGCAAAAAAGGGAGGAAGTCTCGAGCGGGAGCGTTGTTGTTGCTGGGGGCGGCGCCGATGAGAGAAAGAGTAGCGCGCCAGTCCAAGGTAAAAAAGGAGGAAGCCTCGAGCGGTAGCGCTGGTTTTGTTGGGACGGCAACTTTCGGCGGCGAGCAGCAGCACCGGCCCTGAGTAAAAAGAGACAAAAAAAAGCCTCGAGCGGGAGCGTTGTTTTTGCTGGGGGCGGCGCCAATTCAAAAGAGAGTAGGGCGCCAGCCCAGCGTCAAACGGGAGAACGTGTCGGGCGGGAGCGCTGGTTTTGTCGGGGCGGCGGTTTTCCGCGCCAGGGAGAAAATGAATCAGACAGTCCAGGGACTTGATTTGGACATTCCACCAAGCATGTTTGATGAAGCGGAGGCCTCGCAAGATTTAGCGAATGAGTTTTACAAGCAGATGTTGATTAAGATACATCACCAAAGGCAAGCATCGGAAGAGAAGAAAACAAATGACAAATCCCAACGAGAATCGACATGTGAAGCGGCGGCGAAGATGAACCCTGAAGAAAGACTTCGTTTGGCCGTATCCCAGATCTGGGCGGAGAGCAAAGGTAAATCGAAAAGCAAAGGAGGCAAAGCAAAAGGCAAAGCAGGCAAAGGCAAAGGTTTCGATTACGTACGTTTTCACGCTGAGGTAGAACCGTACATGAATGAGGACAACAAGAAAGATTTGGCATCATCTTGCACTGATTTAGCCCTCCTTAGCAATGGCACTGGGGGTGCGCCCGGCCAGCGAAAAATCACCGCAGATTCACCAAAAGCGAGTTGGCGAAGAGAAAGGATCGCGCCCCAAAAAACGACTTGCCCCCTGCTGCCAAGACGCCCCGCCGTCGGCAGGGTGGCAAAACGAGTGGCTGGGGCAACGGCAAGGGCAAGGGCAAAGGCAAACAATCGGAATACAGTGCAAGAGGTGGTCGAGGAAAAGGTGCTTGGAAGAGCATTTCCAGAGTGTGGGCCACGAAAAACTTCTGGAATACTTGGAGGAACCAGGACTCCGGCAAAGGGAGCGGAAAGAAAGGAGCAAGACCCGAATCCAAAGGTGGAGGCAAGGGCAAGAAAGGCAAATGAGGCGATTCACATTTCAAGTGGATCAGAAATGTTGGGAACTTCTTGAAGGGGCTGAAACTTCGGTGGTTCTCAAGATGTTGAAATTCACGAATTCGCTTCGAAATGTGTACATCAACGTGCCCGAGAATCGTTCTGTCAGGAGCCCAATGCCAATGGAATTGTCATTCCCAGTTGTCCTCCTGCTTACATGTTATGCGCGCGAAAGTTCATATTTTGTGGAAAAGCGGAGCCAGAACAGCAGGACGTAACAAAGGCGATGCAGGAGTTATGTGCAAAGATGCAGTGGAAAAATCATGTTCGACATTCTTCTGAACGGCCTGCCTGGTGGAAAAAGCATCTGGGCAGAATCCCGATATCAGAGTATTGCATGACCGACATACCCGCGGAGCTCACGAACAACATGCGGGCAATGACTTGGCAGGCTTCATAATTATGCCGGCATAAGATTATGAGTCGGCGTGGTGATTCAAACAACTATTCCAATATGCCTCGCTTTGTGCACGTGGCAAAGAAATGGTTGCAAGCTTCGGATTTGGTTGCCGTCCCGACAGACAAACACGGGGGCTATTGCTTGGTCCCCGAGGCCGCGCTAAAAGGCTTAGTGGCGGAGTCCCTCCAAAAATCATGCTACGAGGAGGCTTCCTGGGTAAGCCCCCGTTTGATTGGAGAGGTAATTGATTCGATTTTATCAAAGATTGGTACGGCTTTCGATGAGCCCAAGCTGCCTGGCGCCCTGCGTAGGCGAGGCTTGCAGCACCGCACAATGGAAAGCCAACTCCTCTTCACCGTGAAGACCCACAAGCCGGCGGGGGAGGTAAGCTTGCGAATTGTGCATAATTGCGCTGGGCATTTGTATGCAAATATATCGAAAATGTATAGTGCGTGCATTCGCCGGCACGTGAGGTCGGCGTACCCTTGGGTCTTCGACAGCACGGATGACGTTCTAACAGCGTTGCAAAATATCAAAACACATTCTAGTTGTATTATGGCTTCGTGTGACATAACGGATTTTTTATTTAAATGGGAATAATTCTGATATGTGCCGTCGTGTACCCAGAGCAGTCTGGGGCAGTGGCGGCGCAGTCCACGAAATCATTCTCTACGGTCTTCTATCTAACCAGTTCGTGCACGCGCCTCTGCTGGAAGACAGGCACTGGAGGGTTGTCCCTGGTGCTGGAATGGGGTTCCCTTGCGCGGGGGACGTCGCCGACGTAAACGTCGCAGAAATGGTGGAGGTGGAGCTGATGAGCCGATTCGAGGACCACGGGCTGTTGTTTTATGGGAGGTTTCGTGATGATATTCTGCTTCTGTGTAAGACCAACAGGGATTGGGTCCATAGGCGTAGTTCTGGAACATATTAGCTAGAAATGGCTGAAATGGGGTTTCGCGTTATTGATTTTTTGGATGTTCCAATCTTCCAGAATCGTTCCGGGTTTTTGTCCTGGGAACCATTTTCGAAGCCAGGGCAGATCAAAGTACCTCTGTCCCATGCTTCTGCGCATCCCCGTAGCGTGCATAATTCTTGGCCCAGGGCCGAGATTGACCGTTTGAGGCGCCGATCCTCCAGTGCAGCCGCGTTCGAGTCCGCCAAAAGAGCTAGGATAGACGACATGTGCAAGCATGGAGTTCGGGTGCCCCTCACAGTTCCCTTTTCCAGCCTGCCCGTCAGTAGCAGCAGACGGGATCGGAGTGGGAGGACTAACACTTTGTGGCTTAAGCTCCCATATCACCCCCTGCTTGCGAGAGCGTCGCTTACGAATTCATTGAATCGGCTGTGCGATGCATGGGGGCTCCAAGGCCCGCGGGTTGTTAACTGCCCAGTGCAAGTGCGAATCAGCTGGTGGAATAAGCGGCCGAGCCATGCTCAATTGATTAGAAAGTGGCAACAACGATATTGACTGGTTGGAGACTGGGGTAGGTAGGAGGGAATGTCATTATTATCGTCATAGTAACAGTTGCATGCGTAAGTAGTCATTTTGGCTCGAATTCCTGAGCCGAGCGCTCACAGGCCACTAGGCTGTCCACGAGAGCGAATACCAGAACAAATAGTTCCAAACATCATTTCAAAATATTTGATTTCTTGGAGTGGCCATCGCTCTCGTGGATTCACGCAGTAGTTCTGCGCGGCGGCACCGCCGTTACGACAGACTTGCCGTTACGACAAATCGTTGTTTTTTACTTGATCGAGCTATTGCCAGGAAAAAGTGTTTGGATAGAGTGTGTGTTTTGTCGGGGCGGCGGTTTTCCGCGGCGAGGAAGAGCGCCGCCTTGAGCAGAGAAGGGAAGAAGTCTCGAGCGGGAGGGTTGTTGTTGCTGGGGGGCGGCGCCGATGAGAGAAAGAGTAGTGCGCCTGTCCACGGTAAAACGGGAGGAAGCCTCGAACGGTAGCGCTGGTTTTGTTGGGACGGCAGCTTTCGGCGGCGAGCAACAGCACCGGCCCTGAGTAAAAAAGGAGGAAGTCTCGAACGGGAGCGTTGTTGTTGTTGGGGCGCCCGTTTTGGCGGTCCCCCAAACCGTTTGAGAGTGAGCCTCATTTTCAATGCAAATGCAGCCGGCGCCTCGGCGAGAGATCCAACAATAATAATTGTTTAGCAACTAACACTCAACAACGCAACAAGCAGAATTCTCACCACGAAGTCGTTATTCAGCCACGCAAACAGGGACAATGAATGACCGCTCGGTCGTCTCATTCTAGAAAACACATAACAAAATGTATTAAACGTGTGTGTGTGTGTATGAGGAGGCTACATGAAGAGAGAGAGAGAGAGAGAGAGACAGAGAGAGCGCGAGAGAGAGAGAAAGAGACATGGAGAGAGTGATCTATACAGATACATCTGTAGACACTCTATAGACACACAGAGAACAGTTGACACATGGAAAAAGGGAGACAGGGAGAGAAAGTACAATAGGAGAGAGAGGGAGAGAAGAAACAACGCAAACAAAATAACGAAATAAAGAGAGAGAGAGAGAGAGAGAGACAAACAAAGATAGAGTGAGTGAGAGATCTCTCTGGGGGGTGTCATCGATCGGTCGTTCTCCTGTTCGCGCTGTCCTCGCACGGCTTCCCCGCTGTAAGTACTATAGCTATACTTCTACTCATCACTACGACAAACGTATGCTCATACATAATTAATTGACCGCATGTGCTCAGCAAGGACTCAGGTGCTTGTATAAAGTACACGAATGTATATGTATCAGAATATAGCTACGCACCTCAGTAGTGCTTAAGTCGCACAAGTACGAACAATGACTAAGCGGGGTTCGAAGAGAAAAGGCCCCCTGAGGCCGAAAAGTGAAACAAAACACCTCCCCGAACACCGCATCCGAACCTGCCCGCCCATCCTGCTGGTCAGAACCAATGCTGGGCCACCGCAGACCACCAGATGGTCCCAACTCTGGGCTTTCGCAACTCGGCTCTCTGGTGGCCGTTCGGAACGATCCAAGCACCCGCGGGAACGCTCTTGGCCACGCGCAGCTGCTGGAGAGCATCGCTAGGCTGGAACACCGCTGGGAACAAACGAACATACTCGAGATCCTCGAGTTTAGACGCCAGAAATGGGCACGTACGTGAGACATGAGCACGATGACCACAACATCACATGCTGTCCAAACCCGACATCGGCCGCTGTTTGGCAGGCGGCCTTCTGTCTCAAATGAAAAACGCCCGCGGTGGTACGGAATGAGAACCCTGCTCAAATTAATAAGAAGTTCTGTCAATATTCGTGCCCATCTAATCCGTGCCCATGCCGATCGTACCGATCGAACCGCGGATCTCTGGGTTTTAGGTTGAGCAGGGACCGACCGTCCCAGCATTCCTATAGGCCTGCCACGAACTGTTCTTACAACCCAACAATGTTCGAATAACAAAACCAAGGTTCTTAGACCGTAGGCCCGATGTGCAAAAAGGCAGTCCCAGCCAGAACTGCTCCAAGAACATTTCGTGCAAACCACAGCAGGTTCTTAGCACATTCTTTGGTGGGCCCATAGGCGAGCCAGGACGCTTCGCCACTGCTTCATTCGGAGCGTCGGATCTGAGGCACCTTCCACAGCCGCCAGCCCCGGCCGCGCCGCCTCCGCGCAGGGCCTCGTGGCGCCCGCGGGTGGGCGCGGCGGCGGCGGCATCGGTGCCTCGGGCGAGTCCTGCAGCGTGTCCCCGGCGTCGGCCACGACGACCACCTCCTCGCCGCGGCACCTCAGCACGGCGGCGGCGGTGTCGTACGCCGCCTCTGGGACCATGGCAAGACCCCCAGGTCCGCCTCCACGAGGCCCCCCAGAAGGCCCAAAAGGCCCCGCAGATGCCTCCAAGAGCCCTCCAAGAGGCCCCTGAGAGGCATCCCACGAGCCCCTCACATGCATCCAAGAGGCTCCTGACCCACCAGAGAACTTCCAAGATCGTCGCATGCACTCGCTCCTTCTGGGGGGTCGGTGCACTGGCGTAGGCCACTTAGAGTTGGCCCCTGCGATTGCTCCACGACGAACAATTTGTTCGGGCCCCCAGACCCTCATAGATCGATGCGGCGCGAAGATTACGCTAAGGACTCGGGCTATGGTGGTGATTTTTCGCGATGTTTCAATTTTCTGCAACGTCAGATCTGCTGGAAGGTACCAGTAGCGCCAAACCCTGGACCTCTGCTGGGACGCACTCTGACCAGGACTTCGAGGCGAATGCGGCGGTGGCGACGACGGCCTCCCAAGGGACCCACAAGAGCGAAAACGAGGGCAGAGGGCAACATAACGGTCTCGGTGCCAATTCTCGGACCATAACTCGGGCCTCGGGCGGCCGTTCGGGACGATCCGGGCACCCCGAGGCTGGAAACGCGCCGCCGAGAATCGACGACACGTCCGAACACCCCCAACCGAAAGCCTCCTTCCTCCTCCTCCTCCTCCTTTTCCTCCTCCTCCTCCTTTTCCTCCTCCTCCCTCCTCCTTTTCCTTCCTCCTCCTCATCCTCCTTCTCCTCCTCCTCTGGGCCTCCACCAACTCTCGGTACACCAGCCTGCCCGGCGCCCGCCCGGGCAACGCCAGCGGCACTGGGTCCGCGCACAGCCCGAACTGCAGCAACCCGCGCACGGCCTGCTCGTCCGCTGTCAGAGTTGGCGTCATACCTTGAGCAGGGACCAACCGTCCCAGCATTCCTGTAGGCCTACCACGACATGCTCTTAGAACATAAAAATGTTCGAATAACAGAAGCAGCGTTCTTAGAACGTAAACCCGATGTGCTAATGCAAGACAAACTCAGCCAGAAATGTTCTAAGAACAGTTCGTGCAGACCGCAAGAGGTTCTTAGAACATTCCTTGGTAGGCCTATAAGCGAGCCAAGACGCTTCGCCACTGCTGGAATACCCCCGCGGCTCCGCACGGCCCCAAGGGCCGACGCCCCCCCCCACGCCGGGCGCGGTCCCTCCGATGATCCTGAGAACGTGGTCTGGACTCAGCGTGCGCACGCCCACCAAAGCCTTTCAGCACCACGCAGGCGGTGCGACAGGCAGGCCAGCACAGGCTGACGTGCCACCGGCGGCACGAGACACGCAAGACAACCACTGGACCAGCCCACGCCCCGAGGATCATCGACATACCCCCGCGGCCGCATGCGGCCCCCAGGGCCCGCGCCCCCTCCACGCGAGGCGCGGCCGCAGGAGCCAGAATGCTGCGCCCCCGGGGGGCCGAACGAGACACCGTATGCCTGGGAGCGGAGAAGCAGCAGGAGGATCAGGATCGAAAGCAGGGGAAGGAGGATGGTGAGAAAAAGGAGGAGAAGGGATGAGGAAGAGTTACAGGAGCAAGGAAGAAGGGATAACGAAGAGGAGTTAAGAAGGGTTGAACAGGCAAATGGTGAGTGGAAGCATAAGGTCAAGACGAAGATGAGCAGGACGACGAGGAGGGTAAATGAGGATAGCGAGGATGACGAGGGGATGGGGAAGATGAGACGGAAGGTGAAACATACGCAGCAGGAGCCATCACGGTAACAAGCAGTAGCATACCAGTAGCCGCAGTCGCTATAAGTGTGGTAGAGGTCGTGGTGGTAACACTTTTTGGTTGTAATGATAGCAGTAGCTGTAGTGGCACCCGTGGCAACTAGCAGTGGTAGTCGCAGCCGGAGCACTAAATCATGGGACTCTAATGCTAGTTCTGCTAGGTCTACTGGTAGTGGCGGCGGTAGCAGCAACAGCAGTGGTAACAACAACGATCGCAGCATTTAGACAGGAAAAAATCGCGACATCACATGTGAGGTAGCCGTTGCCAGCTACGTTCGTAGCAATGCCATGGGCACGGCGCCCCGAACTACAAGTGCACTCTTGCTATCGGCGCGAATGCAGCGCTGTTCCCACAGGCTGCCATCCCGTATCATCGGGGGGAATTTGAGAGCTCACGTCATGCTGACCCCCGGCGCGCGAGGGAATTGGCATGCTAACCACCCCCGCCGTTCCGTTTCCAGGACATCTGGGAAATCCTGGATATCCAGCGACGAATGCCAAACTGGTTCCCTCGCGTGGGACATCCTCAGTAAACGGGCCCCCTAGGCCTCCCCAGGGAAGCCCTCATAAGCGCCCTTGTTCCGTTCCGAACCAGCGCCCTCGCGTGAGACATCCTGGAAAAAACAAGCCCCGCGAGCCTCCGCAAGGAGGACCTCAGGAGCCGCGCGCCGGGGCGCGCCAGGCGTGCAACCTCGGATTCCGACTCCTGGCCCGAGCTCCGCCACTCTGCGGGCCACGCCTGGCTCCGCAGCGCCTGCCGATTCACGGCGGCGGCGTCGCGGGCGGCCGCAGCGTCTGCAGCAGCGAGCCAGGTGGAAGAGGTACACTAGGCTGGCGGCGGGCATGCGGGCCCCGCTAGCGAGCGTGCGCCCCGCCAACGCACAGAGCCTGCGCGTGGCGAACCGAGCATGGGCGCCGATGTCGACGATGGCGGCCGAATCCAGCGCAGCGTGCTCCACGCAGTGGATGTACTGCTCGCCCTTGTGTTGGCAATCCCCGCAGCGGCACAGGTGGATCCACTTGCCCTGCTCGAGCTTCTGCCGGAGGGTCCGAGCGCTCGCGCCAATGAGTTTGTTGTGCTGGATCCAGACCCCCTTTTTCCCAATGCGCTCAGAGTTTTTCCAAGACTATCCCGAGTCGTGCCACGTGTCCGCCCATCCTTGCGAGTAGGTCATTGGGCTTTGCGCCTGGCCCCGCGCGCCCTGATCGCCCTCTGGTAAAAAAATGTCGTCGCGCTGGGGCCGGCGGCGGGGCCTGCCCAGACGACCGTCGTGGGCTGCGGGGGCGCCGGCGGCGGGATCTGGCTCACTTCTTTTTCGCCTGGCGATTGCCGGGCACAGCAGCAGCGCGCACGGCAGACGCCCGCGGCTGCTCCCATGAACCAACAGACCCACGCACAGGGCGCGAGGATAGTCCGCAGGCTGCGGGCCGTCAGGGCAATGGCGCCGGCGCAGCCCAGCGCGATGATGGCCCGGCCGACGATGGGCCAGGCGGCGCCGAACAGGCGAGCGCCGCGGCACAGGATCCAGCATCCGTCTGAGCACAGCCAGCCCGAAACCCGCCGGGTGGAGACGGCGCCTTTGAGGGTCTTAAATGAATCCAAGCCCCCATCCCTTCGACCAAGGCCAGGCGCGGTTTCCGAGGTTCTCCCGATAACCCATGTCCCGGCCCCCGATCCAGGCTCGAGGAGTCCGAAAAGGACTTGGGGAGGGAGGTGTTGGAAGCGTCCTTCCCGGTCGGGGCAGCCGGCGGCTCGGGCGGATCGCCGGGTGGGGCTCCTCCCGCCTGCGACAGTCCTTGCTCGCCGAGCTCTGGCCCCTTGAGTCCTCGGCGCCGTCGATGGACAGGTCGCCGATGTTCCCCGAGGGCGCGCCGCGCGCCCCGTCGTCGCAATTGACCACGACGGGCTCGCGCTGGGGCCTGGTTCCGGGGAGCTCCGCAGCGGCGACCAGGACCGCAGCGGCACCCAGCTGCCCACTGCCCACGGGCGCCATCCCGCTCAGCACCGCAGCGGCACCCAGCAACCCCAAGCGGCGGACGGTGGTCAGCGCCGCGGGGCGCCGGGCGGCCAATCCGCTCGCGCGGGTGCTCCAGGCGGGCGCAGGCGCGGGCCCGCGCTCGAGCGACTTCGCCTAGCGTCGAGCCGCCGCCGGCGCAATCGCGCGCCTGGCCGCCCGCTCGGCGGTCGCCGGCGGCGGCCCTGCTGAAGCAGCCGCACCCCGGCAACCTGGCGCCCGGCGCGGCGGGCCGCGCGGGCCCCCCGGGAATCCGGGGTCTTCTGGCCCTCTGGAGCGGGGAGGGCCGCGGGCCACCTGGGGCCGACCCCCAGCTTGGCTTGGAAAGGCTTGAGGGGGCAAGGGAAAAGCTAAGGTGAGCCCTGGGGCCCGAGAGAGCCTAGCGCTTAGTGCAAACAAAGCTGCATCTTGCAACGTGTTCAGAGCACGTCCAATGTAGTTGACGGCGTCCGCGGCGCTTCGGGCGGTCGCAGCTGCTTTCCGAATGTCCGCCCCGGAAGCGTGCAGTACCTGGTCGCATGGTACAGGCGCAGCGTTATCGTCGTCTGGACCCATAGGCCCGTCGCCGCTTTCGGCTTGGACCTCGGCAGCGGCTGCGCTCCACTCGTCCAGCGCGTCTACCGCCCTCGCGACAAAGCCGGCGCCGTCGGCCCACTCGGCCGTCGCTGCGCCCAGCTGAGCAGCATCTGCTTTAACTTCCGCCTCAAGGGCTGATTCGCCCCACTCGCCCATGGAAACTCTGGTCGGCAAAATACATTCGCCTCGCGAACGTCAAAAGGAAAGGCCGACAAGGTTTGAACCGAAGTGGCTACGGGCGCCCATGGCAACCATGGGAATGACAACAATGCAGGCCCAACGATTGCAACCCCTGAGATCCTCGGAGCGCGGTTGGATCCACGCATGGCAACGCAACGCAATCCAGCGCATGCGATAACGCGCAATGCTCGCTGCCGTTTGCAACGCCATGCTTGCGCGACGCCACGCAAGTCAATTCAGCGCGCGCAGCGCTGCGCGGCTGGCGCGGCACGGCGCGACCAAGAGCCCCGCCCCAGACACAGTGACACGCCCACTTAGCCTCGCAAGGGTTGCGTTTCATGCATATGACGGCTTATCGCCTCGGCATCGCCTCCGGATAGGCTGGCGGCGCGAAGAGCAATTAATGGCCAAACATGCACCATGACATACATGGGCACGGTGATGCGTATCCAGCGACGTGCGCCGCGCGCGTTTGAAACCCGCATGGGGCCTGGCAGAGGATTGCGGCGGCCTTGCTTCGGGGCTACACTGGTCCTATGCGGGCCCACCAAGCGCACGCGATGCACTTGTCGGGGGGGGGGGGGGGGCGCTTGAAGTGGCATCCGAACGCGCCCGGGGATCGCTCGAGATCGCCGCCGAACGGGCGCGGGGCCCGCGTCGAGGCGCCCCCCCCAGAAAGAGGAAATACAATATATATATATATATATATATATATAACGCATCTGGCATGCTTGTTTCCCGCAATTAATGCCGCTGAAACTTCAGAGCGCGCGCCCGCCGTGGGCGCGCAACGCATATTCAACGAGGAAGCGGATCGTGCGCCTCTAGCGCGCCGTCAAACTGCAAGGGCGCGCCCAGCTGGGCCAAGACTTCGCTGAACAGAAGCTGGGGATATGGCATGGCGCCTGCCTCCGCGCCCCGGTCGAGAGGCTCGTCGAGCGGCGGCTGCGTCGCTGGCAGAGGCCCCCGATCGCGCTGGCCTAGAGAGGTGCAAACCTCGGGCGCCGTGGACTGCCCCGCGACAGTCAGCGTTGAAGACGCGGCAACTGGCGCCAACGCTGCGCCCAAAGGGGCCCTCGGAAAAAGAGCTGGCGCGGTCGACGCAGCCGAAGGGGCGGGCAACTTTGGCGACTCAATCGCAGAATCGGCGCGGCCCTGCGCCTGCTGGTCGACGGGCTCCTGCGACGAGGCGATCTCCTCTGGCGATTCGGCGGCCTGCCTGTCGTCGTCGCGCCGTTGCGCGGTCGCCTTTTGCATCGCGACGAGGGGCCCCTCATCGATGTGGTTGTCCTCGCGGAGCCCCCCGAGTAACCGCCTCAGCTCTTCGCCCGCGTCGGGCGCCTTGCACTTCGGACGAATCAGCGCGGGAATGCGCAGGGCCTACTCTCTCAGGGGCCCTGGGGGGGGGGGGGGGGGGGGCAGCTCGCGAGAGTTCATCGCGACGAGCGGGGCCCTGGCGCCGTAGCGCCTGGATTCCCCAGGCAGGTCCCTCCGACGCATGACTCGAAAAGAAAAGGCGCGGCATCGGAATGGCGAGAAACGCCACTGAGAACATATGCGTGCGGATGGGGCCCACAGACGCCGAATTGAGGAAGCGAGCGGCAATCGCCATGCTTGCTCAAGGTATGCAGCGAAATGCGACGCAATGCAACGCAATGCAATGGAATGCAGTGCAATGCGGTGCTTGCGGCAATGACAGCTGCCAAGCAACGCAACGCAACCTGTGCGATGCTATGCCGTGCCATGCAATGTGATGCGCGCTGCCGCAATTTGCCCAACCGCGCGCCATGCTATGCCACGCGGCGCCATGACGTGCCAGGGGGCGGCGCGGCACGGCACATGACGCGCACTTGGTTGCGCCAGACAGCAACCCTCGACACCGCGGGAGGGGGGGGGGGGGGGCGACGAGATGCAGCGCATGGGGGCACGGAGGTAGGAGGCGCGCGGTAGGAGGGAGGTAGGAGGTAGGAGGTAGGTGGAGGTGGGAGGTCGTATGGCTTTTGTTGGGGGTATGTTTCAAACGTGCTCGGGAGTGGTATTGGAATATTGTGGAAGCTCACTGGGTGCCTAGCTGATGTCTACTTGCGACAGGTTCGTGCGTTGTTCGGTCGTTGCCTGTCACGCTCGCGCGCATTGTACATGCGCGGTTGAGGCCCCTCCGATGCCAAGGTCTTCTATACCTACGAGCGCGCCGCGACAACGCGATGCGATGCTGACGTAAGGCGCGTGCGGCAAGCCACGATACGTCTTGATGTTTCCCAACCTGTGAACTACCACGTGGCCGACCACGCGAGATGGTGACCGATTTCGGCGCGACCAGTTGGGCGACAACATGGAACACCCGTTAAAAAATATGGTTGTGCTGGCGACCATTTGGGCGACCACATGGGTTGCCATGTTGATTTTGGCGACCATGTTGGCGACCGCATGGGCGCCCACTTTCGTTGAACCAGCCCTGTAAGGACCTGGAACTTCACAATGCAAGACTGCATTGGCGCTTCGCGCCATGCATCTTGGCCCCTGAAGTGTGGCATGCAAGCGGAATGGAAAAAACAGCCAAACAGAACATTTAACAAATGATCCTGGTTGCCTTCTCTGGCATCGATATTCTAATGGTGTTGTTTGTTGCCCGGCCTTCATATTTTCTTGTTCCTCCTTCTCGCCCTACCCTGCGAATCCTTCCGCATCCTCCTCAATTCTTTTTGTGGGGGCTCTTCCTTGGAGAGCCTCTGGGGGCTCCACGGAAGTGGTTCATGCTTTCTTAAGACCTTCTGGAGGCCCCCTGGGCGTCTTCTGGGGGCCTCGGGGGGTTTCCTCAAGCCACACTGCCTCAAACCGCGGTCTCCCTGAACGACGACGGGGCCACGATTTGGAATGAATTGGGAAGTGTCTTGGGGCCATCTTGGGCTTTCATGGGGCTCGCGTTGACCATCTTGGAACCTGTTGTGCCTTCTTGGGGCTCCCTTGGGCTGCCTGGAAGGCCTTTGGGATTGTCTTGGGTGTAATTCTCGAGCCTCCCAGGCGGTCTTGAAAGCCCAGAGGACCGAATAACAGGGCATTCCCAAAGGCATGCAACAACCGTCGAACATCAATGATTTTCTGCGTCTTGGAAACCTCTTGGGGTCTTCTTTGGGTCGTGTTCAGGTGTCTGGTGGGTGTTTGGGGCCTCTTGGGGCGCTCGGGGGGACGTTCGACCGCCCTCTTGACCGATTTGGGCTTCCAGGAGCTCTGACGCGCCTGGGGGGCCTCCTGGGGCGTCCAGGGGGTCCCTGGGGCCACAGATCTGGGATGTCCAGTCCTGGCGGCCCAGGATTCGGGGGTCCGATTTCGGGGCGGGGAGGTCCCGGGCAATGAAGCTATATGAATGGGTGTATGAATGCACATACGTACATGCATACAGGCATACATACATACATACATACCAGCCTACCTACCGACCTATATATATACATATATATATATACATATACTCACCTGGGGGGATATGTGTCGCGCACATTATGTGATTCAGCTTACGTTGTGCAACACGCACTGTGCATTCAACGACGTGAAATAGATGTTGTGAAATACGTGTGAAGCAAGACGTGTGGTGCAATCGTTGTCTTGCAATGTACGTGGTGCAATCTAGGTTGAGCAATATTTGTTGCGCGATCCATGTGACGCCATCTATGGTGTGCTATATATATGTACTAATATGAATATAGTGCAACTTGTGTTGTGCAATCGATGTGGCACAGCATATGCAATGCACGCTATGTTGTGCAACCGGTGGTGTGAAACCTACGTGGAGTAATTTACACGGTGCAATGCATGTGGTGCACTCTATGTGGTGCAGTCCATTCAAAGATAACATATATGTGATAGATGCTTCATTTTATGTTGTGCAGTCTAGGTTGTGCAATCTGCGTGGTGCAATGTTGTGCCATCTATGTGGTGCAATGGTTGTTTTATACGAGGTGCACTATCTTTGATGTGCGAAATTTGTGATGCAGTCGGCATGGAGAAACTATGTGGCGGCAGCGAGGTGGCGACCGGGCGGCGACGGCGATAACACAGCCGCCAGACCAGCACACCAGCCAAAACGACGGACGGCGACGAGGCGGCGACGGGGCGGCGACGGCAGCAACATAGCCGCCACCGCCACACCAACCCAGACGACGGGGCCGCGACGGCGGCAACATACCCGTCGGACCGCCACACCAGCCCAGCTCCTCAGAACAACTAGAACCACAAAGCGCAAGCACTGGTGGGGAAAAAACAGGAGAAGGGGGGAGACGAGCGATCAGGCATGATGGGCGAGGGGGGGATCAGCATGTGTACGGGAGGACAGAGAGGGTAGAATACGAGGATGAGCAGGAAGAAGGTGAGGGGAGAAGTGCTGGACAGCAAATGCGAGGGGAAGCGGGATGCGGGGGGGAAGCAGGAGCAATGAGGTGGTCACGGCATTAGGGAAACACGTCCCGAGCAGAGCAACGCGCACCACGACCACGACGACGCCGACGACAACGACGACGACGACGACGACGGAGACGAGGGGGGCAGACGATCCGCACCGAAGCACGGATGCGGGAAAGGGCCCACCCTGCATATTCGTTTAAACAGCACATCGTTGAGCGGTGCTGCAGTTTCCCCTGAGCACAGGCCCCCCCAGAGCATCAGCCAGCTAAGTCGGGCTTGGGACCCTCATGCCTTGCTGGACTCTGGGCGCGTTTCGGCACCCTCTCCCCCAACCTCGTCAGGGCCACCGACAAGGGAGAGGGCGGCGGTGGCCGACACGTTGCTGAGCTAAGAAGCTCAAAGCGCCGCGGCTCAGAGAGCCGGGAAGACAAACAAACAGACGAACGGACGGAAAAACGGAAAGCCAGGCGGCGTGCAATGCCTGGCAATCCAAGTGGGTTGTCACTGCATTAGGGAAGCACGTCCCGAGCAGAGCAACGCGCACCACGACCACGACGACGCCGACGACAACGACGACGACGACGACGACGACGGAGACGAGGCGCGCAGACGATCCGCAACGACGTCGTCGTCGTCAGGGAAGGCGGGGGGGAGGACGACGGAGGGAGGAGGCTACGTAGCGTGTCGGACGGGCGCGCGTGGAGGAGAGCGAGGGGCGTGCGAAGGCAAGAGGGGGCACCAGGGAGGGAGGACGACGAGGGAGCCGCGGAAGGAGCGGGGAAAGGCGGGCGACGCGGAGCGACGGCAGCGGGGGAACAAGGGGAGCCCGATCGGGAGCTCGAGCCGGCAGCGCGCGGGCGGCCGCGCAGACGCGGAGCGACGCGGGAGACCCCGCAAGGCGACGCGAGGGGGCACCGCGGGGAACCGCGCAAAGCGGCGCGCCGCCGGCGAGAGGCACGCCTCGCGCTGGTGGCCCAGCTCGAAGAAGAGGAGGGGTTTGCTTTTTGAGCGTGGGAGCCACTGCTACCCTGCCTAGGAGCAGTGCGGGATGCGAGAGACGGGGAAGAGGGCCGAAGAGGAGGAGGAGGAGGAGAAGGATCGGCGGCGGGCGAGGGGGGAAGTGAGAAGGGGCGGGCCTTCTCAGCAGGCTCGGAAATCCCCCGGCCTTCTGAGAAGCTTTCGAAGCTTTCCCGGAGACGCAGAACATCTCTCAGAGGGCTGGAGGCCTTCTGAAGAGCCCTGCCGCCTTCTGAGAGAGCGGTCTCCTTCTAACTTCCCTCCCTTGCTCGCCGCCGAAAAGCGGAGATGAAGAGGCACTCGAAGCGACCTCCCGGCAGGCAGGCAAGCTCAGAGAGGGCAACCTGTCCTGAGCAAAGAGGTGGCCACCTGTGCCCACACGCCCGAGCTCGAGACGAAGGCTGGGACGCAGACGACGGAACAGATGGCAGGGACAGCACGAAACACAAACGAATGAGGATTCAACCGAGGACGCTGCACGCTGCTGAAGGAAAGGATGGAGAGAATGAGGCAGGAGGAGGAGGAGGAGGAGGAGAGGAGGAGAGGAGGAGAAGGACAAAGGAAGGGCGGCGACATGCACAAGGATGAGGGCTCCACATGTCTCGTCCTCTTCTTCCTCCTCCACCTCCTCTTCGCGTGCGCTTCAACAAGAGGTTCGGAGGGTATCCACCCGTGGCGACGAGAAGCCTGCCCGAGCCCCTCAACACAAAGGAACAATGAGCAGGCATAAACATAAACTGTCGAAACTCCGAGCGGATTTCGTGGATCGACGCTGGACCCCGCTCCATGACACGGGGCGCGCGCCAGGGGCGGCGCCGGAGGCGCCGCTAGGGGGCCCCAACGCCTAGCCAAGAAATCCGTGCGGACCTCCGAAAGGTTCTGCTTGTGCCGTTTTCTCTTCTTCGAAAAGGAATGCCCTCGGCCTTCCATCAGAAACCAAAAGCAACCTCGGCCATCCGTGCCCGTCTGGGGAAACCAAGTGGTACCGATAAAGCTAATCCCTGGTCCTCTCCCTGAGTGCATTCTGACCAGAATCTCGAGGCGAATCCAGCGGTGGTGACGAAGGCCCCCCAGGAAACCCGAGAGGGGGAAAACGAAGGACGGGTAGCGAAATGGGTGCCATTTCCTCCTCTGACCGTCCTCCCTCCTCGCCAGAGCTGGCGGCTCCTGCGAGAGGATCTCCTCCATGCTGAAGCTTTCTCTTCTCCGAAGGAGAGTAACATCGGCCCTTCCTCCGAAACCAAAAGCAACCTTCGGGAGCGGCCAAGAGGGGGGTGTCCAAGAGGGGTGTGTGCAAATCATGACCGGCGGCATGTGCGCGGACCAGCGGGGGGGGCCAGGGACGTAACGAAATAGGAAGGAACGCCATGCAATCTGAGGAAACATCATGGCCCACGCCATGATGTCCACCCCCCCCCTAGTCATCACCCCCCTCTTGTCCGCCCCCGATTCTCTTCTTCGAACGAGGAGTAACCTCGGCCCTCCCTCCGAAACCACAAGCAACCTCGGCCATCCCTCCTCGTCCTCCTGCCTCGCCAGGGCTCGCGGCTCCTGCGAGAGGCTCTCCTTCATGTTGAAGTACAGCTTGATCACCGTGTAGGCGTGGAGCTCCTGCCCGGCGGGCCGGCGACGGGGGCCCTCCCCTCTCGCCATCCAGCGCCGTGGTTCGGCGGCGAGCGAGGGCGGGAAATGAGAAGGAGAAGGCCTTCTAAGAAGGCGGCGGGACTTCTCAGAAGCCCTCGCGCCTTCTGAGAAGTTTTTAGTGTCTTCAGGGGAGGCTCAGAAAACTTCTCGGAAGGCCGGGGGACTTCCGAACCTTCTGAGAAGGCCTTCTCCTTCTCACTTCCCCCCCTCGCTTGCCGCCGAGTGGTCGTCGTCGTGGCCCGTCGATCGCCACCGCCACCACTGTCACTGCGGGGCAAGGAAACTCGGGGAGATAGGCACAGGGCAGGCGAGCCAAAAAATCGAATCGACAAGTCGGATCGGCGATCAACACGAATCGGATCGGCGGAAATCGGCAGCCGAGTCGGGAGGAGTCGAATCGGCGGGAATCGGCAGACCAGTAGGCCTCTATTGAGAAATCAGAACTCATATCGAAATCCGAAGTCGAATCGGATCGGAATCGAAAGCCATAGACATCCAATCGAATCAAATCGCAGGAGTCGAAACGAGCCTTCATAGGGGGGGGGAACGCCGACCAGGACTCGGCGATGCATTTCGCCGATAGAGCGGCGACGCACCCTCGGTCGTGAATCCGCGCGTTCCTGGGCGGGTTGGGACCATCGGGCCCCTATCGGCGAGGAATGGGCGAGATTTGGAGATCGCATCCCTCCTACTATGCCTATCACCCCTGATCGTTGCCCCTGAATCACGCCTGCGATCTGGGCGTTGCGTGTTTGTTCACACCAGGTAGGACGAAACTGCGACGAGGACAACATCGGGTGAGGACAAGTCGGGAATCTCTGAGATGCGACGGCTCTTGAGAATGTCTCGGGCGCAGCGGCCTCTTCAGGGCGTCCCGGAACGGGCTGAGAGCGTTCTGGAACGCTCTGGAACGTTTGTATCATCGTCCTAGCCCCGTCCGACCACCACTGTCACTCCTGAGGTTTGGGCGTTGCATGTTTTCACATCAGGCGCTTTCGCTCGGTTTCGGGCCCGGGGGCCATCCCAGATCGAGCCGCCTGGAGAAATGCAGCAGAAAGGGGTCTTGGGCTCCTGCCGTGATTCCTCGCGATGTTGCAGCTTTTTGAAACGTCGGATCTCCAAGTAAAACGTAGGTACGCAAGGCCCCATTGAACTTCAGTGTGAGCGTGTGCGCAACGAGGAGGGAGGGGAGGGAAGGGAGGGAGCTGCAAGGTTTGCTTGGATTTGCAGCTCCTTCTTGCACCACCCATCGCTGCACTTGACAGTGTGCACGGTTTAAATCATCTGCCTTCGACAATTCTCGATTGCAATTGGCACTTCCATCCGCCGTCCGCGCCTGAGGATCCTGTGCGCCGCCGACTTAAACAGTGTGTGCGACGATGGGCCTAGCGCGAGGCGCGCTCCACCTAAAGGACTCTGGGTGGCTTCTGGGACCACCGAGGCGCCATTCGGAGTACACAGCTTGCCGTCGATCGGACGTTCGCTCCCCGTGCATTGTTCGGCCTCGCGCGCGTATGTTTCGCCAGATGACCTCAAGTGCTCCTCGACGGTCCTTGCCGAGAAAAGAAAGGCACACGTCCGAGCGATGCCAAGCAGTTCAGCTCGAGCCCCGGTCTGCAGGCGGCCCCTGCGCGCGGCGCGACAATCGAGGCCGCTCTTCTCGCCACTGCTCGGACGTCCGCTCCCCGTGCATCGGTTCGGCTCCGTGCGCTGCATCTTGCGAGATGCTCCAGGATGCTCCCAGATCGTCCTCGCCGCGACACAATGCACACGGCCGAGCGATACAGTCGGACTTGATTGGACAGGACACGCGAGAGGACACAAGACCCTTCCAAGGGCCACATTGCCATAGGAACGTAGGAGGCATGGGTCGCGAGACACAGGACACGAGGGTACCCTTGATTTGGCAGGGTCGACCTACTAATCTGGGCCGACTGTTCCAAGCCGTTCCGCTCGAGCCCCGTTCTGCAGGCGGCCCCCTGCGCGCCACGGCCCGCTCCGCCGCCGCCGCGCCCGACTGGTGCCTCTCGCGGCGCGGCGCGCATGGCGCACCGCGGCAGGCCAAGACGTGTCGGCGGCAGGCGTCAGGCGGGGTAGCGCTAGGTCGGGCATGTCATCATTTGGCGGCGCGCACAACTGGCCATCGCTCGGACGTCCATTCCCTGTATTTTTTGTCGGTTTCGTGCGTGGTTGTTTCGCCGCTCGTCGATGGTCCTCGCCGAAGAAAAAAACCATACGTCCGAGCGATTCCGAGGCACAAGGGGGTGGTGGGAGGGGGGGGGGCTTCTTAGAAGCACCCTGCTTCTTAGAAGGCGCTGGCCCTGCTCTGCAGATAAGTCTCGCGCCTCCTAAGAAACACGGGTGCTTCTAAGAAGCCCTCCCCCCTCCCCCACCCCCCCTCTGCGCGTGGCTGACTCCTACAGACGGATATCGGAAGAAAGTAAGAAATAGTCAAAAGAACTCAAGCATAGTCAAACCATACTAGGAAAATTGCCCCCCATCCTATTCTTGGACTATTTTGAATATTTCTCCTGCAGACGGACATGCCCGAGCTAAAGGGAGCTACTCGTCGGTCGGAAGAAGTCGATAAATAAGCACGAAGTGGGAAGGCGGATAACGCAGATTGGGTTAAGGCCCTCCCAGAGATCAACAAGACACAGCAAACGCATATCGATTCTTGAGGTAGGAAGGCGCTCGAAGTAGATCGGGATATGGAGGATCAAAAAAAATCCTACTCTCAACGACCGGCGCGTGCGAGCATCATCAAGGCTGGGGAATGGTCCTCGGCCTCGGGGGCCCCGAACCGGAGTTGCCCCGCCCCAGAGCTGCCCTGGATGATTCGGGCGTCCAGTCACTCCCGGCTCCTCGGGGCTAAGGGTGGTCCCGGGTAGCTCCTGGCCCATGCGCCGGGGGGTTCGAACCCGAGTTACCTCACAGAGGAGCTCTCCCAGATGATTCCGCCGCCCATGAGCGACGATCAGAAACGGGTCTTACGCGAGATGACGTGGCGACCTTACTTCACCGCTTACGCGGGCCGCCCGCGCGGCACGCCACACTGGAAGCGAGGGGGCGTACGCGCGACCTGACGCGGGCCGCTTACGCGCCAACGTAGGCGAAGAGGACTCCGTCTCTGTTCCGTCGCTCCTGTGCCTGCAAGCCGAGCCAAGGTCAGCCAACGGACAGGGGCAGGGAACGTGAAGAGGACGGCGAGGGGTCTAGGGTTCTACCTTGGCCCCGCGCGCACCCGGAAAGGCCGCGAGGTACAGGCAGAGAGGCTGAGGTACACAGGCGGCCGCAGACGACGGCGACGACGGCTACGACGAACGACGACGGCGGGGACGACGACAGACGACGACGACGACAGACGAACGACGGTGAGGGAGAGGGAAACGAACAATGACATGAACATAAAAACTCGGAGGTCCGCGCGGATTTCTCGGATCGGCGCCGGAGCCCCCAGGCGACGCCTCGGGCGCCGCCCCTGGCGCGCTCAGCGCGCCAGGGAGGGGGTCCAGCGCCGATCCGAGAAATCCGCACGGACCTCCGAGGTTTTATGTTTGTGGCATGTTTCGTGCCCCTGGGTGAGGGATAAAACAAGGCTAGGATCGGGATAAATCGCTCCAGAGCGTCCCGGAGCGCTCTCAGAGCGTTCCGGAACGCTCTGGAGCGGCCGCGGCGCCCAATACATCCTCCAAACCAGCCGATTCTCAGAGATTTCGAGTTATCCCGATCCGATTTTGTCCCGATCTTCGCGTCGTTTTAGGTGAGCCGTTCGCCTGCTCCTCCGCCCCGCCTCCCCACCCTTGGCAGCCGGCCCGGCCAGCGCAGTGGCTCGAGTGGCATGCGCGTCGCTGCGCCCTGCTGCTCGGCGCGGCCATTATCGTCGCCGTCGTCGTCGCCGTCGCCACAATACGTTGACCGTCGTCATCGCAATCATCATCGATGTCATCATCAACATCACCGTAACCATCACTGTGGCTTACACCACATGGCCTGCACCACATAGCTTGGGGGGGTCCGTGCAGGTTTAGCCGCGTCGCCGCCCGTTGCCGCCTCGTTGCCGCCAACTTTGGGCGATCCGTGGAGGTTTCGCCACGTTCCCGCCCGTTGCCCCATCGTACCGTGCTTTTGGGGGGGGCGGGCCCTCTTGGACCGTCTAAGGGCCCTCTTGGGCCGTTTTCGAGCCCTTTGGGGGGCCTCTGGGGCCGTGTTGGGACGATCTTTGGAGCCTATTGGGCCGTGTTGGGCCGTTCTTGTCCCGGAAAAGCGATCACCGAAAAAGCCTTCAACAGCCATTGAAAAATCAATGAATTTTGCCTCTTCGGGCCCTCTTGGGGAGCCTCTTGGAGGCCTCCTGGGGCGTTTGTAAGCCATGTTGAAGGTTTTGGTGTACATTGGAACTCTCGACAAGCTGTCTTGGGCAATATCGGAGGCCTCTTTGGACCTTCCGAGGAGGCTGGAAGGCGGAAGGAATCCTTTGCAAGGGCGTCCGACCAGCCCAGGGGAGGCTTCAAGCAGCCCAGGGAGTCCGAAATTCGTTAGGTGTGTGAGGGGTGCGCTTTTTTTCCGGGGTCTCCGGCCCTATAACAATATAGAATTGGAATACATATATATATATATATATCATATATATGTGTGTGTATATGTATACACATACCTCTGTATATCTAGCACAAAAAACATACACATATAATTAGCATAAGCATCTGTGTTTGCATCTGTGTACGCACTTTTGCGGTCTCACATCTGCGTATGCATTTATGTGGTGCCACGCGTTTCTTCCCCTCTTCAGCCTCCAGAGGCGCCCGAGGACCTCGTTCGTGCTGGCCAGCTGGCCCGAAAGATCATGCTGCTGCCCCCCTTCCAATCTCGCTCCGCCCCTCCACCATTCCCCTCCATCCCCCGCTATAACCTCCCTCCCTCGAGGCGCTCGTCCTCGTGCCCCCCAATGACCTTCTTCCTCATCACTCCTCTTCCCCTCTGCCTGCTCCCAGCTCGATCCTCCAACCACCCCGAGGCTGCTGCACCCTCCTCCACCCCACATCCACCCTTAGGTCGGGCATGTCCCACTACAGGCGGATTTTGGGCGAAAAAAATGAAGAGTAGTCAGAACATAAAACATAATTTCATACTGTCGAAAAAATATCAAAACATCGTCCCCAAGACTATTTTTTGACTACTTTCGAATATTCCTCATATAGAAGGAAATGCCCGACTTGAATCCACCCTCCTCCATCTCGGGGGCGGCCAAGAGGGGGGCGTCCAAGAGGGGGGGGCGCAAATCATGGCCGGCGGCATGTGCGCGGCCCAGGGGGGGGGGGCGCAGGGGCGTATTGAAATAAGAAGAGGCGCCATGAAATCTGGGGAGACATCATGTCCCTACCATGATAATTTTCCACCACCGCCTGGTCATCACCCCCCTCCTGGCCGACCCCGACCATCGTCCTGCCAGGCAAAAGAAAATCTCCAGGAGCCTCCAAGAACGGCTGGGGCCCCGAGCCGGCCCGACGGCGGGGCTCCGGAGTGGACGCCACCACCCGGCAGAACTTCTCACGCTGCACGTCCTTGACGAAGTTGCCACCCAGGCACATCACCTCCGATAGACGAGCGCATTCCACTAGTGAGTATGTTTTATCCGGCGTTGTGACATTGGGCGGAAGGGGGGGGAGGGGGGGGGGGGACCGGCTCCGGACCACTGCTGAGTGCGCCTGCTTGCAACAGTGCGCCCCATGGGGGAGACTCCACCTGCTCGAAACAGGCGCCAAAAAACAACCAAGATCTACTCCAAGGCTGGGGGGAGGGAGGGGATACGAGGGCCCGCGCCGATCGGCAAAACAATGAAAAAGAGAACGATCACCTGCAGGGCTGGGCATAAACGCTGTGTGTGGTTATGTGTTCGTTTTGTTTTTGTTGTGTTGCTCTACTGCACCTGTTTTCGTGTGTTTCTCTGCCAAAAGAAAGAACAACACAACCGAAGTCCAGCAAAACAGCGTTTAGGTCCAGCCCTGTTCCACTACTCGCAAAGTGACTACTCGCAGATGGCCTGGATCCGCCGTGGGGGATCCTTCGAGAAGGTCCATCGAAGCAAACGTCTGTCTTTCGGGCGTTTGCGAGTAGGCACCTTGCGAGTAGTGGAACGCGCTCGGTGCCCCGAAGCCCCCAACCCCGTGCGCGGCAAATGGCCGGCGAGCCTATGAAGGGAGGTGGGGCGAGGGAGGCGAAAAGAGGAGACTGAAAAACGATGGGGAGGTGAGGAGGGAAGCAACTTTTGGGACGGGATGGGGACGGACGCCGTCCACTCCGTCTCCTTACTCCACATCATCCTCCCTTCCCTCCTCCTCCTCCTCCTCCACCTGCTCGTCCTCCTCCACCTCTTCCTCTTCCTCTTGGCTCCTCTTGGCTCCGATGCCGTCTGTTACCGCTGGCAGAGCCTGCAATAAAGCGGCGAAATGCAGCACTGGGTGGACAGGGCTGAATTATCTGACAGCTATCTCGCCTCCTTGGACGCCCAGCCAGACAGCTGCCAGACCAGCGGAACAGACCTCCCAACATTTCGTGCTGGGGTCCACTCCCTTCTGTAACTTCTTTAAAGAATCCTCTGTGTGGTGATCGCGCGGACCATGGTGGCATTCCTGGGAGAGGTAGGAGGCGGGGCCCGAGCGCTCCCGACAGCGCCGCACCGAACGCGCCAGGCAACCTCCCCCCCCATCAGCCACATATTATGGCTCGAGTGGCTGGTCCGCGCAGTCCTGCGCGGCCCACCGCAGGGAAACACACACTGCTGCACGAGTCCGACCTCGCTCGCCGCAGTGGAGGCACATATGCGAGCCTTAAGCTACACGCTCTACAGCGTGGCCCTTGGGGCCGGGAACCAGCTCCAACAAACATGGCTCAGCCCGACGGGGCCTCTGAATGTTTGAAGCGTCGGGAACACCTTTGGCAGATGAGTCGTCCATGATTTCGGTAATCAGCCACGCCGACTGCCGAATCAGGGGCTCTAACCTTCTATACTTGTCGCGCACCCATGGACTGTGGGTCGGGGCCTGGGCTCCAAGACGGGCCAGCTCATCGGCCTTCTCATTTCCCCGCCATTTCCAACCTTCTGCTCCTAGCCTAGGGGCCTGGGTCAGGGAGAAGCGGGACTCAATCTCTAATTTTAGAGATCCTATCTGGGCCCATCTCACACGCTAGCCTGAAGATCTCGACCCAAAGCTCAAACAAAAAAGGCAACCTTCTCCAAGTCCTGAGCGGGGCCTAGCCTCCATGTGTCCAGGACGATTTTGCAATCAGTTGCGCGGCAGCGGCCGACCCCGTCACATATCCATGCCAGGGATCCAACGAAACAGACACCACAGCCCAACCAGCCTGAGCATACCGCGGCAAAGCGGGGTCGAAACCAGACCCACCCATGCAGACGCGAGGCCCCAAGTGGCCCCCAGGAGGGCAAACGTCCCACTGGCGCCCAGCAGCGGAGCACGGGACTGGCCATTGCCACTCGGAACTCGGCGCCAGGGCACGGGCGACGGACAACTGGTTAGCAGGCGTGAAGTCCAAGGCGAGGATCTCGCCCACATCTAGATCGCGGCGCGCGGCAGTGCGAGCTGGGCAGCAGCGAAGGCGATGGCTTGGCGCCCCTAGCTTCTCTCCACGCAGCTGGCAAGCTGGATCCACAACACGACAGTCATCATACAAAGCGAGCTGGGTAGGGTACCTGCCCTCCCGAAACCAATCCCAGCGAGCCCCGCGGCGGCAGTGTGCCTATCATCCCTCCTGAGCTTCTGGATGGCCTCAATGACAGGCCCCAGCAGGACCCCGGCCCCATCTCCAAGGCCTCGAAGAAGCAGATCCCGAACAGCTTAGTGCAATAGAACCTTGAGGGGCCTGTGCCCCAAGAAGCCCAGATCAACCTCAATACCCTTCGCCATGACGGTCCGATTCCCACTTAGCACTTGCCAGCCCAAGCTCTCGACCGTGAGGGCGACGGCGCCCGCGGGGCCACGGACTTCTTGCCGCCCTCGTCTAGGCCGACGAGATAACGAGTTACGCGCTTCTCTGACCACCCCAGACGAACGGCATGTCCCCAGGGGGGGCAGCGCACGCGCGTCGCTCGACGGGTCCGCCTTGGGATCCACAGACAAGGAACTCCAACGTCCTGCACCTCCCTCGTGGCGCCGCAAACAGAGCACAACCGAGGCTCGCGCGGAGCTGGCCGGGAGTGGAGGTAGACATTCCGTTGGCGCAGAAACCGTAAGTGGCCGAGGGAATGCCCCCCGCCCGAGCAACCTTGAACATGCCCCGCCCGGCGCTGCTGAGACCTCGGATCCGTCTGGTTCGAAGCCGGATCTTCTGGGGGCGCTTTTGGACAACCTGCGAGCCCTTGGCTCTATTCTGCGCGGCCTAATCACAACCCAAGTTCCTGCCCAAACTGGCCCCAGTGAAACTCCAAATCTTAAGCCTAGGACCCATGGCCATCCTCGCCGCCGAGCGACTGCAGAGAACGAGGCCCCTCGCCTGAGATATTACCAGCAGCAGCTTCTCGAGCTGCATGCACGAACGAACAAATGCACTGCGCGGGGCAAGGTGTCCTCGACGTGCTTCTTGCTGCCTGTCGCCTGAGCCGCGGTGTCGTCTACCAGATTGAACGCGCCCGCGCCCCAGTGGACCTCCCTGGCACGGTCCACGGGGCCCAACAGCATCGCGCGGAGCAACGCAATAGCAAAGCCGCGCCCAACAATGATCCCTTGGGGGGCCAGCGCGGAGTTCCCCACTGCGCCGCGCACATTAATGATCCTCCCTCCACGGTAGAGCGACAGCAACATCGCATGCCTTCGCCGGGCCCACGAAGCATGGGCCTGAACGACCGCCCACGCCGACACGCTGCTCAACCGTCGAGCTCTGCTTCAAGACCGCTCGCTCACACCTCTTGCCGTGCACGCCGCGCAGGTAGTCGCCTTTATTTGCGAGCTCCCACTGCTTCATCTCGCCCATCCACAACTTGGAGAACACCCTGGTGGGAGTGGGCAGCAGAGCTATCGGGAGGAAGCCCCCGTCGGGCTTGCCCAGCAACGCGAGGACGGCGGTGAGGAGGATGGCGGGGCAGGTTCCCGGGAGCTCCATCTTGGGCCAAAGTGCCCCCAACGCCTCCAGAAGCCTTCTCCAGATCCCGCGGCCGAAGGGCGTCAAGCCCACGAGCCGTCCTCCTCGGAAACTCCCTGATGGCCCCGCGCATGTCGACAGCGGACCTCTCCTCCGAACACAGCTCCTGGACCAAGACTCCCTGCTCGGCGGCCTGCGCCTTGATCTGGCGCGTCAAGAACCTCTGCCCCTGGTAGTGCTCGACTCGGGCGGCGCCCAACCGACTGGACTCTGAGCATGCTCGCGCGCCATGCCGGCGCCCGCTGACACAGCGCCCCGCGCCCACTCGCGCCTGGGCTTGCCGTGCTACGACGTGAGCTTGCGCTCCAAGACTCGGGAAAGCCCTCTGCCTCTTCACGCCGAGCCTGCGAGCGCTCGAGGGGGGCGTGAAACTTGGCGCCGAAAGAGGGGCCCACTGCTGCCAGGAAACGCCTTTGTGCCACTGCTTTTTGGCCCCCACTCGGCCGCTTCCAGAAGCCCCGTGGACTGCCCCCCCCCCCTCCCGCCAGCGGATGACCTGCTTTTTGATATGCGCCAACTCGGATGACACCTTGGATGTACGACGACTCCCTCTACTCTCAGGGCCCCCGACGGGATGCCGACCGCCCGAAGTTCTGACGGCTGATACCCTAAGTGGCTGGTGCCTCAGCCCGACCGAATTTGTCTGGCTGAGCTTGCATGCTGCGTTAGGTCCCAAGCTCAAGCTCCAAAGACTCCACGAACGACTTGGAACGGGCATCTAGCGAATCGCAATCCCCAGTTCACATTCGATCAGCTCCCCATTGTCGACTCTGGCATGGGCCCCATCGCGGCGCCCCGCGGGAAGGCCCTCGGCACACGGAGCGCCCGGACCAGCGCATTGAAGGGCTCGCCGTGGAATTTGACCACCACTGGCCAGTGCGGCTTGGTCGACGCCGTCCTACTGATGGCGCAAGAATGGGCGCTGCCTGCAAGACATGCAGACCTCACAAAATAGTCAACCGTTTTCCAGACCTTGGCGGTGGACCTGCGTGTGTAAGAAGCTGGCTTGACGATTTGCTCCCATAGACGACCGGCGCGCCCCGTCTCCTGGACCCCCGGGGGAAACGCCCCAGTCGCCTCCGAGCACGAACGGCAGGATGCAGCTGCTCACCGGCGCGACTGAATAATTTAGGAGCCAGAAAAAAAAAACAATGGAATTTCACACGCAGGGTTTTGGCACCACCGTCGGTGCAGCGCATGTGCACGCATGCCACTGGATCCCCAGCGATCCGAGCCAGGGTTGATGCACGGCCGTTCCTTAGAATGCACTTGACATGCGTGGTGTGGCAAGGCTGCCGGCGGCGACAAGATTCCAATATCCGCTGCCAACAAACATTCCGTGGTGGATTGGCACAGCCAAACCACTGTGCAACGTCAGTTTGTTCATCCGTTGACAGCAGCACGCGTCGCTGCAGCAGAACGCAGTAGCGCGCGCGGGCATGCGGGGCCGGCGATGTGGCCGGCCAGCGGTCAGCGCGATTTCGGCAGAAGAGCCGAAATCCACGTGAGATTGTTGCGCCGCGGCCTTGCGATTCTAGCGCCAGGGCCCGCGCGCGCCTCGAGGCGGGAAAGCAAGCTCGACGCGCAGGAATCGCGCGTGCTCTTTTAGGGGCGGCGAAAACGATCGCACGCCAAGGAAATTCCCTTGCGCGCCCCCCGCGTCGGCAGCGCAACCAGACCGTGCGCAAGGGAATTACGCGAGACTTCGTGGCACACAAAAGAATTGCAGCAACCCCCTTCTGGGTTGCGCCCTTCGCGCGCGGAGACAGCTCCGATCTGGCCAGGAAGGGGGGGGGGGGGGGCGGAACAAGGCAAAGCGGGGGAAGAGGAAAAAAAGGAGGGCGAGAAAGAAACGAAGGAAGCAACGGAAGGAGGGCTGGATGCGCGCGAGAGAAGCTAACACTGCGCGCCGAGACAGCTGTCCGTTCGTTCGATTGGCCGCGCGGCAGATGAATAGAAAAGACTCGGTTGCTGCCTATCGAAGGGGCTTCTTGGGAATGAGCCTCGCGCTCTCTTCCCGCCCCCTTTTTCCCGCGCCCCGTTGCGAGCGCGCGACGATTTGTTCTGGCCCGCGGGCAAAGGACTGCCAGCTGCTGGCGAGCGGCCTTCACGCCCGTCACGCGCCCCGAACGCATGCGACAAGCAAGGCGCACTAGCCGCGCAAACCGCCAGCTCCAAACGCCGACGCCGCCCCAATCCCATCCGTGCCAGGCACCCTCTCAACGGCGCCCCTTTCCGGCGTGACGTAAAACCAAAATCCTCTGTGTTCATGTGGTTTCCTGTTCTGATATTTGGCCACCGATTGGAACCAAGGGGCCCTGGTCGGGCAAGTAGGTGGACCCGAGAATGAACCCCATCTGGCGCGCATGCGTTGGCCCACGTCAGCTGCTGGCGGCGCTGGCACGGCGGGCGCTCGACGCCCGTCGACGGCAACCTCTGGCCGTCGAACTCTCTGCGCGAAACCGCCACTCGCCCCGAGAGACCTCCGGCCTCGGTGATCTCGGACGGGCGAACGCGCGCTCGCCAGCCTAACTTCTCGAGCTGAGCTTCGCACTCGACGCGATCTGAAGGGTCAACGGTTAGTCCCCGAAGCATAACAATGTGGCTCGACACTGCCCCCTGGAGAAGCGGCTTCGCCGATGGCCATGCAAGTGGCGTTCTTCCGCTGCCCAGGTTGGGCAGCCCCGCGGCGACGAATGCGCTGTCGCCCTGTGAGAGGCGAGGCGCTAGGGGGAGAAGGACGAGCCGGGGGGGGGGCAGCCATGGGGCATGGGGGGGTCGAGCCCGGCGGGGGCGGGGGCCAGACCAGGGCCGAGAAGGGCAGCCCAGGCGGCCGCGCGAGGCCCGCCGCCGCATTGCCCCACCGGCAGGTGGAACAGGGCAGCCCGTTAATTACCCACCTGACGTCCAGACCTGCGCCCCGCCTGCCTCCCAGTTGTGCCAGGGCTGCCTCCGGCAGCCCCGCCAAAACCTCACCCTCCTCCCTGGCTGCCCGGCGCCTCGGCGGCCCCGGCGCGGGCGTCGATCTTGGGTGACCTGGAGGTGGCCCGCCGCCGCCGCCAGCGCAAGACAGGCCATTGCTGGCGTCAGGGGCGCCAGCAGCAGCAGCTGGGCGACAGGCTGCAGCCCGCGGCTGCGAAGCAACGAGCTGGCCTCTAACATCCCCACTCGCATCGTTGCCCTTCCGCTAAGTCTGGTGCCTGTTGATGTGCTCGCTGTGTTCCCTGCGCAACCTGTCCGCCGTGTCCTTGGCCTCGCCGAAGAGTTGCTTCGCCATGTCTTGCATCCCGTTGCGCAGCTGGTCCTTCCTGGCAGCCGCCCCCTTCCTATCCGCATCCGTGAACTCATAGATGTCTTCAAACCCGAAGAAGTCCTCGCAGCCTGCGAGGTCGATGCAGGACACGTCCCACGCCAGCAGTTGCTCGAGGGGGATCTCCGGCGACTCGGTGGGCTGGTCGCTGCGCGCCTGGCTGTGGACGGCGCTGAGCAAGCCCTTGTACTCGTCGTCGGCCGCGGAGAGCTTCGTCTGCAAGAGCTGGACCTCCGACCCCTGGTCCACAACCAAAATTGACGTAGCCTCCAGAACTTTTCGAACGCGGCCTCCAGCGTCCTCTCAGGGGCTCGACCTGCGCGTGCGCACGGTGCGCACGCACCCGAAGGGGTGGCACCTTCGGCTTGACGGCCTCCTTCCTCTTGTACTCCAATAGCTTCTCGTACCTGGTGACAGGCCCCATGCCCCTGTCTTCGTGCCGAGGGCGAGGACACGCTGCATCTCGTCGACCGTGAGCTGCTTGTCGCCATTGCCCAACCCAGGCGGGGGTTGCAGTCCGATCGCTCGGGGTTCGACATCACGCGCGGCATCCTCCGCGCGCTCGCCCTTGGTCTCATCAGCGGGGACGTTCCAGGCGACATGGCAGTGGACGCAATGCCAGGTGTTCCAACTATTCTTCTTGCAACAACAATGCCAAACATTCCATCTCCTATGGGGCCTTTTTCGAGCCGTTCCATTTTGCCAATTCCTTTCTTATTTGACCAAAATACACTCTTGTGGTGCACTCTCGATGCGTCTTTCCCCAAGCCATGAAGGAAGAAACGACCAAACATCTAACCGAAACGTCCGTGTAATTGGTGGGATAATGACACTCACCCCTGGAAGGACCACTGATCGAGGGTCGTGCGGGTCCCTGACCGGCTTGAGCCCCAACCCCAGGGAAAACGACCGCCCCAGGCAACGGCTTGAGCCAGTGGTTACGGATTTCCTCTTCCTCTTCCTCTTCCTCTTCCTCCTCTTCCTCGTCCTCATGCCTCCCCCGGGCTTCCGTTTCCAATGCGGGACCTCCCCCCCTCTCGTCCTTCCCATTCACCGCCTGGTCCTCCTCCCTCCCCCCTCATCCTTCCCTCCCCACCTCACTCTCTTCCTCTCCCCTTCCGCCCCTCCTCCTCCCTCCCCCTCCTTCTCGCGCCCTCCCTCGCTCGATCCCTCCTCCCTCCCCCAGCCTTCCTCCCCCCCCCCCTGCCCCCCCCCCCCGCCCTCCTGGGGGGGGGGGGGGGCTGGCCTGCGGCCCCCACGCGCGGGGGCCGCACAGGGGCGGGCGGGCCTTGATCAGCGTGTCCACCTGCCAGCGGCGGTTCGGGGAGAACCTGCGCAGCGGCGCCCGCGTGGAAGGGAGCGCACGGGTGCCGCCGCCGCCGTCGCTGTCAGCCGTCATCGCCGTCATCGCCGTCGTCGTCGTCGTCGTGATCGTCGTCGTCGTGATCGTCGTCGTGATCGTCGTCGTCGTCGTCGCCGTCAATGTCGCCGACGTCGTCGGTCGCCCGCCGCCGGTCGCCAATTGCCGCCGCCGTAAACACCGCCGTTGTAATCTTCGTCGTCCTCCTCCTCCTCCTCCTGCTCCTCCTCCTCCTCTTCTCGCCTTTCCTGCCTCTTGCTTGCATACCCGCTGCCTTATAAATCCTGAGTCACGCCCATCCTCCCACTTCCTGGAAACCGTCCAGTCAGCAACAGCACCTGGTGGCGATGTTTTTCATTTTCATGCATTCGTATAAGGGCCAACCACTCTCAAAGGCTGTGTAATCCGACAGTCCGTTCCTCCTCGTCCTTTTCCTCTTCTCTCATGCTGCTGTTTCTCCATGCTTCTCATTTTGTAACTGTCCTTACTCCTTGATCACCCTCCTCCTCCTCCTCCTCCTCCTTCTCCTTCGCCTCATCTTCTTGTTCGCCTCCTCCTCACGTTAAGGCTGTAGGTACCAGGGTCTCTCCAGAACGACGCAGCCTAGCAGCCTCCTCCACCTCCTCCTGGGGTTCCTCCTCCGTCTCCCCTGGGGAAACAAAAAGGTACTGCTACCGATGCCACTACTCCCTAGACCTTTCCTGGGATGCGTTATGACCAGAATTTCGAGACGAATCCAGCGGATGCGACTAGGTTCTCCCAGAAGGCCCAGCGAGGGGAAAACGAGGGAGGGGTAGCGGTATGGGTATCTTTTCATCCTCTGATCCCCTGCCCTCCAAAATGTCCCCATCATCCTCGTCCCACTGGCCTGGTCCCCGCCCCCCACCCGCACACGGGGGGGGCTACGCGCAGGTCGCGCATATCCTCCTGCAGGCGGATTTTGAGGGACCAAATTAAACGGAAATCAGAAACCTGAACGGACAAGAACGGGAAGAGCCGTTTCGCCCACGAACTTCATCTGGGAACGTCCCGTAGACAAAACCAACAGAACTCCAAGACGGGCGTTGTCGTCGTTGCCGCCGAAATAAATGGCGTCCTTCGTCGTCCTCGGCGTCGTGTTGTCGTTGTCGTCGTCGTTGTCGTCGTCGTCGCCGTCGATGTCGTTGTTGTCGTTCGTCGTTTGTTTTCGTCGTTCGTCGTCGTTGCCGCCCGTGGGCTGCCGTCGCCCGGGAGAGCCCCAAGACAGCCCCGGATCGCCCCGAGACGGCCCATCGGGAAAACCATCGGGAAAACCATCGGGACAACCATGGGGACAACCATCGGGACAACCACCGGGACAACCATGGGGACAACCATCGAGACGACCATCGGGACAGCCATCAGAACAGCCATGGGGGCAACCATCGGGACAACCATCGGAACAACCACCGGAACAACCATCGGGACAGCCACCGGGACAACCATCAAGACAAACCTCGGGACAACCATCGGGACAACCTCCGGGACAATCATCGGGACAACCATCGGGCGCACCATTGGGCGCACCATCGGAACAACCATCGGAACAATCATCGGGACACCCATCGGAGCCTCCTGGATCCACCGCTCCCTCATCGCCTTCCTCGTCCTCCGCAGTGTCGTCATCCTGATTCCTAACCGCGTCCATTCCCTCCTGATCTTCTTTGTAGTCCTCATCGTTCTGGCGGGACGAGGGTCGAACGTCGCCCCCGAAGACGACCACAAAGACGGCCCCCGTTCGTCCTTCGTCGTCCGTCCGTCGTCGTCGTTTATCGTTCGTCGTCGTCGTCGTCCGTCGACGTCGTCGTCGTCCGACGCGCCGTCGTCGTTCATCGTTCATCGTTCGACGTCGTCGTCGTCGTCGTCGTTATCGTCGTTGGTCGTTCGACGTCGTCGTCGTCGCAGTCGTGCGTCATCGCTCGTCGCTCGTCGTCGTCGTCGTTGGACGTGGGCCGCCGTTGCCCGAGAGAGGGCCCCGAGGCCGGCCCAGGAGATCGCTCCAAGATGGCGGAAGAGAACCCGCCAAGACAGGCGATGTTGTTGTTTGAACGCCACTCGTAGAGGAAAGATAACTATGCACATGCACCGATTCTGGCCAGGCCCACCCTGAGCCCAGGATCGGTGCATACGCCCTCCTACCTTGGCCAGGAAGGCATATGCACCGATCCTGGGTCAAGGATGGGCCTTGCCAGGATCGGTGCATGTGCATAGTTCTCTTCGCCCGAACTCGGAAAGAACACAAGCCTCCTGGGCGCCGTTTTGGAGCTCGGCGTCGTCGTCGTCGTCCGTCGTGCGTCGTGCGCCGTCGTCGTCGCAGTCGTGCGTCATCGTTCGTCGCTCGCCGTCGTCGTCGTCGGCGTCGCGCGTGGGCCGCCGTTGCCCGAAAGAGCCCCAAGACGGCCCAAGATCGCCCCGAGATGGCCCAAGAGAACCCACAGAAGGGCGATGTTGCTTCAAGGCCCCCCTAAAGAAGACAAGCCTCATGGGAGCCGTTTGGGAGCCTCTTGGGGCCTCTTCTGGGCCTCTTGGGGGCCGTTTTGGGGCCGTTTGGGGGGTTCTTTTGGGCCTCTTGGGGCCTCCTGGGGGCCTCTTGGGGCGGAAGGCTCGAATTGTCGGTTCGTGGTCCCTCTCTTGGGCCCTTCTTCGGGCCGTCTTGGGGCCCGCTTGGGCCGTCTTGGGCGCCTCTTGGGCCATCTTGGGCGCCTCTTGGGCCGTCTTGGGGCCCTCTTGCGGGCCTCTTGGGCCATCTTGGGGCAATATTGGGGCCTCTTCTTGGGCCGTCTTGGGACGTCGAAGCTCGGAAAGGCGACAAGCCCAAAAACATTGAACAACTAATAGAAAATCAATGATTGTTGCATGTCGGGGCCCTCTTGGGAGGGCTCTTGGGGCTCTCTTGGCCACCTCGAGAGCTTCTTGGGCCGTCTTGGAACGCTTTTGGGCAGTCTTGGAGCCCTCTTGGGTCTCTCTTGGGTCGTTTTAGGGGTGCTTGGGGGGATCTGTCGCCGTCTTGGAAGCCTCTTGGGCCGTCTTGGGCTCGAAAAGGGGAATCCGCTAGTGAAGTTCCGGATGCAATCCGCGTCCATTAGTGAAAAAAGAAAACATGTTACCAAAAAACCGACGGTCCACGCCGGAGGCGCTTCCCGTCATCCGCCGGCCCCCTTGTGGGGCCACCAGGCTGTAGGGCCAAGGTTTGCTGTTCCCTGCGCCAGTTCCAGCTTCCAGTTTCCACTGTTACAGTTCTGTTTGTTGCTGCTTACTGCTCCTCGTTGATGGACCGCGCGAGGGGGGGGGAGCCGAGAAGGAACCGAATTACCACGCCCGAAACGGGTGCTCTGAATTCCTGGGGGGTGCGTGCGAACCATAAAAAATATATAAAATTAGCGCCCCGAGGCCATAAACCCTCGTAAATCACACGATGTCCACGTCCCCGAGACCATACACCTTTGTCAATTACATTATACTCGCGTCCCCGAATCCAGAAACCCTCACAACATACGCCATACTCGTGTCCCCCAAGCCACAATCCCTTCGTAAATTACGCAATGCTTGCTTCCCCGAGGCCACAAACGCTCGTAAATCACGCGATGTATTCGCGTCCCCGAAGCCATAAGCCCTTGCAATGTACACAATATTCGCGTCTCCGAAGCCATAAGACTGCGTAAATGGCGCAATGCTTGCGACCCAGAAGCCATAAGCTCCTGAAGATTATACAATAATCGCGTGACCGAAGCCATACACCCTCGTAAATTACTCAATGCGTGCGTCTCCGAAGCCTTACACATGCGTAAATTACGCTATATCTGCGAGCCCGAAGCCACAAACCCTCGTAAATTACGCGCCGGTCGCGTATCCGAAGCCATAAGCCCTCGAAATGCAACACCGGATTCGACAACATCATCAGAATGTCAATTTGTCATGCCGATTACTCATCGTCCTCGCGTGACGTCCCGACGCTGCTTTACGGCGGCGCCAAGGCCCCATGATTTCGCTCTCGCGCCGCCCATTCTCCGAGAGAGGGGGCCGGCGGCAGGGGGCGAAGCCCTTACGGATAATCAGAGAAGCAGAGAACATCGCCACCAGGCTATGTATGTTCACTGTTCTCGAATATTCCTCCTGTGGAGTGGCACGCCCGACGCAAGGCCAAGCCCGGGCCGCCGCCTCCCAGATCGAAGGCCGCCCGCAGTGGGGGGCGAGGCGCGCGCCTGTCCACCGCCATGCACAGCTTGCTGCACAGCTCCTCCTTGAACTCCGCCTCCGCCACAAGGAGGAAGTTGAGCAGTTCCTTGGCCAGGGCTGGCCCTTCTTGCCGCTCCTCCTTCTGGTCTCCCGCAGCATCCTCATCATCATCAACAGCATCATCCTCCTCATCCTCCTCATCCTCCTCCTCAGCACCATCAGCATCATCATCATAATCAGCATCTTCATCATCATCATCACCATCATCATTCTAACCACCATCATCCTCATCCACATCCCGATCCTGATCCTGGTCATCATCCTGATACGAATCCTCCTCATCATCATTCTCAGTATTAGCTTCACCAGCACCAACATCAGCATTAACAGCAGCATCGCAACCTCTAAAATCAGCATCACCATCATACCATCCCGATGAAGATAATCATCGTCATCAATAGCATCAGCATCACAATCACAATTACCATCATCATCATCACAATCATCATCACAAGCATCACCATCACCAACCAATCGATCGGTCAATCAATCAATCAATGGGGGTCACCCCCATCGTCATCAGCATCAGCATCGTCATCGTCATCATCATCGTCATCATCATCAACATCGTCGTCATCGCTATCAGCATCACAAGCATGACCATCATCATCATCATCATCATCATCATCATCATCATCACTATCATGCTAGTTACCATCATGATCAACATCGCCAATACAATGATCATCATCGTTATCGTCGCCGACGCCACCAACATCATCATTGATGACATCTTGATCATAGCAATCAACAGAATCAAAATCAGCATCATCATCACCATCATCATCAACATCAATATCATCAACATCATCATCATTAACATGTGACCGTTTTTGTTCCTTTCCCGGGTAACAGCCATGACCCCGGCGGGGGCTCGGGCGGGAGGGTCACGGTAACGGCGGCCGCGGCGTGCGCCCGCCAGGGTGCGTCCGCGCCACGGGCTCATCAATCGCCTGTGTTCACTACACTCCCTGTGTACACGACAATGCCCAATGCCTGCGTGCAACACAGCGCCGCTTGTGTAGACACCACAATGCCTCCGTACACCACAACAGCCGCGTGCACTGAAGCACCACGTCGCCTTTGCACACCGCTGTGCCTGTGTATGCTGCAGCAGCTGTGTGCACAACAACGCCCGTATACACTGCAGTCACTGCATTACCTGCGTGCACCAGAACGCCAGCACCGTGGAACTGGATCACCTTAGGATTCCACATACGACAGATCTGTAAGATTACGCCCCTGGACTCTACAGACAACCAATAGGAGTATTGCAAGACAGCCCTCTGGAAAATAGAGCGCCTCTGCATTCCACAAAAAGCAAATAGTTTCAATAGTAATGCTATGACAAGCTGAGCGCCTCTGAATTCCAAAGAACAAATGTTTTATATACAAGTTTTACAAGAGTCTCTATGGAACGTGTAGCGCCTGAGGATTCGACACTCGTCCACCAAAACGCCTGCGTACACCACGATGCCTGTGCAAACCACAGCAACCGCGTGCAACACAGCGTCGGTGTACACCACAATGCCTGCGTGCACCACAGCTCTTGCGTACACCACAGCGCCTGTGTACACCGCAGCAGACGTGTGCAACACAACACCAGCGTGCACCACGCTGCCTGCGTGAACCACAGCGCCCGCGCACACCACAGCGCCTGCGGGAGAAGGCGCGGGCGGGGCAGCACAATCTCTATCTTCTCCATGGTGCAATAAGGACAGGCAGCAAGGACGCAAAACCCTTGGAAACCGAAGTTGGGATTTGTTGGCAAAAACTGTCCAACGAAAAAGGCAACGGACAGGCCGCAGAGGCAAGGACACAAGATTGCCCTGGAGAAGGCGCGCGTCCTTTAATAGGCGCGTCGACTGCATCGCACTGCAACCGAGCACTGGCCTGAAGGCAGAGTGGTCGAACCAGCCTGCGGTAGCTGAGCCATCGACGACGACGACGGCGACGGCGACGACGACGACGACGCTGCTCTGGCTCTGATTTACTTTTTCCGTCCCTCGTCCATATATCCCACGGCAGCTAAACCCCGATCGCTTTGTGGTCCTTAAGGAGGTAAGGCTTCACGCAGCGAGCGGCCCACGCGCGCAGCCGGCGCTCCGTTCACACCACGCCATGCCTGTGAGCACAGCGCCATAACTGCGGGGGGGCGGCTCCCAGCATGTAGGGGGGGGGCAGGCCCCCACCACCTCCGGCGCGATCGTAGCGTTCCCCATGGGGGGGGTTGGCCCAGGTAGCGAGCGTTACGCCGGGGATGGAACAAAAACGCTCACCATCAGCATCAGCACCGTCATCGTCATCACTACCACCAACATCACCATCATCATCATCACCACAACCACTACCACCATCATCATCGTCAGCAGCATCACCACAACCATCATTATCATCATCATCGTCAGCAGCATCATCACCATCACCATCACCATCACCATCACCATCACCATCACCATCACCATCATCGTCATCATCAGCATCAGCATCATCATCACCATCATCACCATCATCATCATCATCATCATCATCATCATCATCATCAACATCAACATCAACATCATCATTATCATCCTCATTATCGTTACCGTCGTTGTCCTTGTCGTCGTCCTCGTCGGCATCGTCATCATCATCATCACCACCATCATCATGAACGTCCAACGACTTCATTCCTTGATATTCACTCCTCGTCTCGTTTCACCCTACGCATCTTCCTGTTCCGCTCCTCCTGCCGACCGCACCAGAAGTGTCAACACGCCTTCCTCCTCCTCCACTTTGCCATTTCCCTCCTCATCTTTCGTGACAACCCGCCGAGGGGTGCAAAGGCGTGTGAGCTGATTGGCTGTCCCCCTTCCCCATTACCGCTCCGCTGGGGTTTAAAATCCGATTAGGGGGGTTGTGGGCCAAGGGGGGGGAGCCTCCATTTTCGCACTCCGTGGCATCCAAGATGCCCACGAGTCCATCTAAGCTTGCTTAAGCTGGGCTCCAACACGCCAAGAAGGTCTCAACAACAACCAAGATAGCCTCTAGATGTCCCCTCCAAGACGACCCCATCAGCTCCACAAGGATCCCCAGAGAGCCCAAAGAGGCGAAACTCGCCTCAATTAGTAAGGCAAGCTCGTTTTTTCAGCAACTTGTTGTTTCAACAGCGTCCAAATCGGCCCAAGAAGCTGCCAAGATCGCTCCAGGACGGCCCACGAGGTCCCGAATAGGGCCCTGAGACGGCCCCCCAAGAGAGCTTTAGAGCGGCCCAAGAAACGCCCAAGACGGCCCGAAAAGAGCCTCCGGTCCAAGAGGGGGAACTCGAACTGACATTTCGAGACCGTCGCCCCAAGAGGACCCCCCAGACCGCCAGCAGGCGCTCAATAGACCCCCAAGATGCTCTAAGAGGCCCCCAAAAGGCCGAACAGATGCCCCCATAACCCCCTCACACGGTTCCCAACAGGCACAAGGCCTCACCATGAATTTTGTTTCTCCTGTGCGGGTTGGCAGAATCGCGTAAGCCATTTGAATCATTCCCCATGGGAGCGTCTTCAGAAGGCTGGCCGCTCCTTCGTCAAACTCTTGACGTTCTCCTCGTTCACCTGCAATGGAACTCCGCAACATACAGCTTTGACGACGCACAGGTGAAGGCGGAGTGGGACGAGGAGGCGTGACCAGGGAAGTGGGAGGAATAGGAGAGAGGGAGGAGAAGGAGGAAGGAGGGAGAGGGAAGAGGCAGAGGGAGGATGGGGGCGAGAAAAAGGAGGAGCACACAAATCGGGCGTTGGTAGAACTGGGTTTAGTGGAACCTGGTTTAGTGATCTGTACCGGGGGCGCCCCCCCATCCCATTTCCACTATCCGGAACTGCCGTCACCCGAAAAAAACACAAGCTGTGGCAAACCTGGTTTAGTGATTCTGGCAAATTAACAAGGCTCCGGGACCCTTCCACTAACCGGGTCCCCTTACCTGGGATCCTGGCCATACCCGAACAAAAAACAGGATGAGGAGGCGGAGCCAGAGAAAGGCTTGCCGCTACTTATGCCTACGTTATTGATATCTCCAGTGCCACCAACATGTAGGCAACGTCCAGGGCGCGCTTCCTGATGGAGATGTCGCTGTCCTGCTTGCGCACGGCAGGCGCGCAAGAAAGCACGTTGTAGGAAGAGAGGGATGGGAGGAGGGCGAGAGGGAGAACGAGGTCCAGGAGGTCACGGAGGGAGGAGGAGGAGGAGGAGGACGACAAGGACGAGTTCGAGGAGGGCGGATGAAGAACAGCAGCAGCAGCAGCAAGATGTCCTCTATGCAACTGGGCCGCGGCAGCGACACGAGAGGGGCAGAGGGAAACGAGGCGCAGGAGGGGGATCGAGGAGAGAGAAGGGGGAGAGCGGTGAGCAGAGCGGGCCAAGAATCTGGGAGGAAGGGGAACCGCCTGGGAGGGACCGCGGCACCTCGGCGTTGCCGCCCGAACCACGTAATTACTCGGCGCGCCGCGCATGCAGAACCCGATGAACGGGCCCTCTGAAGTCGGAGCAAGGCGAGTTGATCGGGGACGCACTGACCCGGGTCAATGCACACCTGGATCAATGCACCTCTGGCTCTGCAGGATCCTGCAAGATCCGGCGCTCTGGCTGACCCCCGTTTGCATTGACCCCCGTCTCAAGGCTCCCGGATGGTGACAACGGCCGGTTTCCGGGCTGCGTCCAATCGCATCAGTTCTCCGAGCTGCGACCATCAGGCCCGAGGACCCCCCCCCCCGAAGGCCATCCACCTTTGTCTCGATTGCCCTCCACAGGTCAGAAGGAAAAGAGTGGCGATGTCACACAGCCGCGTCCGCGGGCGCTGCTAGGTCCGAAGGCTCTGCCGTAGGTGTATGCACTCCGTAAACAGAATCACTCACTAACTAAGAGGGCGCGCCATGTCTCTGAATCTCAGCCGAAAGCAGAGCGCGCAGAGACGCCATCTACCGTGCCGCGGCCGCTGCACTGGCACTGCGCCGCCGCCGAACCTACGGCAAGATCTGACAGCGGGAGGTGTCGACGGGCTGAGAGCTCCGCAGACATGCCAACAGTCGTCCAGGCGCTGTGCCGGTACAGGAAGAAGCAGCGGGCTGCCTCGGAGATCGCAGCGGGACAGCCCGCGACAGCGGGGTCCCCACGCGGGGCGTCTGCGCCGTGGCGGCCGAAGACTTGCGGGGTCGAAGCGGAGCGGTATGCACAGGGCCAGCGCCGTGAGTGTTCCATGGTCGCGCCTTGCGTGCCTGCTCGGCAAGATCGAGCCAGCTGTGTGGCAGGGCTCGCTGTTTACTGCATCTCCTGACTGGCAGCTTGAAGCAAGAGGAGGTTGGAGGATGAAGAGGTGAGGACGAGGCGGACAAGCCAGCACAACGAGTCCTTGGCACGGAGAACGAGGACGACAACGACGAGAAAGACGAGGGAGAGGAGGATGACGACGGCGACGAGGACGACGACGAAGACGACAAGCTTGACGAGGATGAGGGGGGGGAGTAGAATGAGGAGGAGCGAGGATGGAGGAGGATGGACGAAGGACAGGCGGCGCGGCAAGTCCTTGAGGCAATCGATGATGGTGGCACGGTGGCGCTGCACCGCCTTGGAGTCCACGTTGACCACCCGCTGCAGCGTTGCCAGCGCCACGTAGCGGATATTGTTGTTCTGGCCTCATCGTCTGACGGTGGATGACAGCCGTCCTCATCCCAGTCCTCGTCCTAGTCCTCTCCCTCTCATCCTCGTCCCCCCACAGCTTCCTCCCAGTCCCATGTCTCCTCCCACGCCTTCGTCATCATCCTATGGCTGATCCTTCTTTTCCTTCCACTCACCCCTCCTCTCTCATCGTAAAACAGGGCTAGGATCGGGATAAATCGCTCCAAAGCGTTCCGGAGCGCTCTCAGAGCGTTCCGGAACGCTCTGGAGCGGCCGCGGTGCCCAATACATCCTCCAAACCCGCCGATTCTCGGAGATTTCGAGTTATCCCGATCCGATTTTGTCCCGATCTTCGCGTCGGTTTGACATCGTCCTCCTCGTCTTCCTCCTCGTCCGCATCCATCCTCGCTTCTCCCCATCCCCCCTCCCCATCTTCGCCCTCCGCACGCGGCCCTCCTCCCCGCGGTGTGCGCCAGCCCACGCGTCCGTCCCCGGCGGCCCGAGAGAGGCCCAGGTCCGCGCCGCCCCTGGGGTCGGCGGGCTGCCCAGCACCCGAGAGGCCGGCCGCGGGGACCGCGCAGGGGGGGGGGGGGGCAGGAATGAAGGAGCCCTGGGACACACACATAAATACACACAAATACAAAGATTCCCCATATTTTCCCATATGTTCTGGGTTTTTGTCTTCCCCCACACTTCCCATATTTTCCCATATTTTCTGGGGAATGGCCGACTAATTGTGTCTGTGTGTTTCTTTCCCTCCTGAAGGAAGTGGGGCAGCGCCCGGCGACTGCTGCCATTGAGGATAATTCCTCACTGCGTGGAGCTCCCCAGATGTGCATCCCTTTTGAGAGGTAAGATTGCATTTGGGCTATCAAATGAGCGTCTAGCCATCTGAGCCACATGTGCATCTCATATTGTAGGGTAGTGCTATGGTGACCATACCAACGGGAGGGCCACCCGGGACACAACGCAAAAAACAGAAAGCAATCAGACCGCCAGAGACATCCCCACAGAACGGCGACGGACGGAGCCGTGAAAACACCCTTGGCGGCTCCCCTGAGACATCCTCACAATCTGCTCTCCAAACGAAGGGTGTTGAGACAGAAAGCAGGCAAACCGCTTGAGACATTCCCACAAAACGGCCGCGAACGGGACCGTGTCATACCCCTCGGCGGCTCCCCTCAGGGGTGCTGAATCCAGCGTCCCGCCTGAGACATCCTCACAATCTGCTCTACAAACGAAGGATGCTGAGACAGAAAACAAGCAAACCGCTTGAGACATCCCCACAAAACGGCCGCGAGACCGTGTCATACCCCTCGGCGGCTCCCCTTAGGGGTGCTGAATCCAGCGCCCCGCCTGAGGCATCCTTACAATCTGCTCTCCAAGCGAAGGATGTGGAGACAGAAAACAAGCAAACCGCTTAAGACATCCCCACAAAAAGGCCACGAACGGGACCGTGACATACCCCTCGGCGGCTCCCCTTAGGGGTGCTGGAACCAGCGCCCCGCCTGAGACGTTCTTAGAATCTGCTCTGATAGCCAAGAATGTTGAGACAGAAAACAAGCAAACCGCTTGAGACATCCCCACAACGTTGCTGCGAACGGGACAATGAAAACGCCCCTCGGCGGCTCCCCTAAGGGGTGCTGCAACCAGCGCCCCGCCTAAGAGCTCCTCAGAATCTGCCCTGATAACCAAAGATGGAGACAGAAAACGAGCAAACCACTTGAGAAATCCCAGCAACATTGCCGCGAACGGGACCGTGAAAACACCACTGGCGGCTCCCCCTGGGGGTGCTGGAACAAGCGCCCCGCCTGAGACATCCTCAACATCTGCTCTGATAGCTAAGGATGTCGAGACAGAAAACAAGCAAACCGCTTGAGACATCCCCACAATTGTGCTGCGAACGGGACCGTGAAACACCCCTGGCGGCTCCCCTTGGAGGTGCTGAACCATCGCCCCGCCTGAGACATCCTGACAATCTGCTGTGTGTAGAGTAAGTCAGACAATGCGAAGGTCTGAGTATGAGTAGGTCTGAGTAGGAGTAACTCTGTGTATGAGTACGTCTGGGAACGAGTCAGAGTATGAGTAAGTATGGGTATGAATGAGTCGCAGCATGGGTAAGCCCGAGTATGAGTAAATCCGAGTATGAGGAGGAGGAGGAGGAGGAGAGAAGAGGAGGAAAGAATAGGAGGCGTCCAAGTAATAACAAGAACCGTATCTTAGGATATGGGGAAAAAGAACCCCTAGCCCTGAAAACTCGAGGAAGACGGAGCCTCACTGAGGTCCCCGTCCTCGCCTTCAGGGGTCAAGATTCTGGGCGGTGTGCTCCGATACACCTGCAATGAAAAAGGCCCCCTATCCCTAGCGTTCCTGGCCCTCCTAACTCAGATCCCCTCCTCCAAAAGGCTATAGGGATCCTTTTTGGGGGGTCCGTCGTACTGGCCCGCGACGGGCGGGGCGGACGGGGCCGATAAAGGGTGTGTGGGGCCGACGGGGGCGAGGAGCATGGAGGATGGGCAGGAGAGCTCAGAGTCGAATCGATAATTCGGATCGCCGATCGAAATGAATCTGGTCGGCAGAAATCTGCAGCCGAGTCGGGAAAAGTCGAATCGGCGGAAATCGGCAGGCTAGTAGGCCTCCATTGAGGAATCGGATCCCATATCGAAATCCGAAATTGAATCGAATCGGACCCGCAAGCCATCGAACTCGAATCGAGTGGAATCGGAGGAATCGAAATGAGTCCTGGAGAGGGGAAGGAGGACGACGACGGGGAGGGAATCCTTGCCTCCTCCTGGCCCGCGACGGGCAGCGCAATCGCGGTCGATCTACGGCGGGAGGCGGGGGCGAAGAATGCGAGGAGCAGAAAGGCCGATAGGTCGATCGACAGCGCCATAAGGGACGACATGCATCATCACCGCAACTGGATGAAGACGATGGCGGAGAGGCGGAAGAGGAGGGGGGAAGAGGACGACGATAGCGGAGTGAAGTCCTTGCCACCCGTCTCTCTGCCACTCTCTACTTCTCTCCCGCCCCTCCCTCCTTCACTCCTTGCGACCAAAAGGCTGTGAGCATCAAGCGTCCGTCGTGGGACCCCACTGTGCGCGGGAGACTGGGCGGCGGGCTCAGCAGGAAGCGGCCGAGGATGTTTACGCCCTGCGTCCGCAGGCCCGAGGTGGCCTCGATCCCGAAGATGGTGCGCACGCACTGGAGGGGCGCGGGTAAAGACGAGGGAAACTAAGAATGGCATAAACATAACAACTCGGAGGTCCGCGCGGATTTCTCGGATCGGCGCTGGACCCCAATCCCTGGCGCGAGGAGCGCGCCAAAGGTGGCGCCGGTAGCGCCGCCAGGGCGGTCGTCCAGCGCAGATTCGAGAAATCCGCGCGGACCTCCGAGTTGTTATGTTTGTCATCGTTCGTTCCCCTAAGACGAGAAGTGGTACAGGAGGACTCGCGCTGCAACAAGCAGGATTAGGGCGAGGAGGACCAGAGCAAACGCGGCACGTGTGAATGTGTGTGCGTGTGTGTGTGCGCGTGTGTTGGTCCGCTGCTCCCGAGGCGCTCCGAAGCGGTGGCGGACTGTGGCTGGGATGCAAGCTTGTGGCGCATCGGCAAGAGGAAAGCTGCGAGGGCGGAGGTCGCCAGGGAGACGGAGAGAGGACCAAGAACGACAAAAGACGCGCCGCTGATGCTGCGATGCAGCCCTCCCGTCCGAAGGCCCCTCATCACTCAGCACCTGCCCGTGCGGAAAGCGAGGGCCCCAGGTGGGTTTGAAATTCGAATCCATCTTCGTATTGGCAGACTGCCGCCAAACACTTCAGAACACATGGGTCACCCATCAACGATGCGGGAAAAGCGAGCGCGGCGCTCTCAGCGGAAGCACGGTGTTGGAGAGCTGCCGGCATCCACCCGCGCAGCTGCAGAGAACTTCAAGGCGTATATGCCAATAGGAGATCAGACGACATGTCGGTGCTTGGAAGAGGGCCGCAAACAAATCGTGCAGATGCCGCGTATTCCGCCGATCTGGCGTGTGAATTTAAGGTGGGGGGGGGGACCGGGGTGGCTTTGGGGAGGGGAGGGGGGGGGAGGGGGGTCGGTGGCGTGGGTTCTGGTGGCGGGGGGGGGGGGGGGGAAAAGGGTTCCGGTGGCGTGGGTCCTGGTGGCGTGTGGGGGGGGAGGGCCCGGTGGCGTGGGCTTGCTTTAAAAACCATTCGATTTCCTTAGAAACCACCTCAGAACGCTTGGTTTGCCCGTGATGGGGGGGGGGGGGGGGCGTGGGTTCTGGTGGCGTGTGTGGGGGGGGGTTCTGGTGGCGTGGGTTCTGGTGGCGTGGGTTCTGGTAGCGTGGGGGGGGGGGTGCGCTCTGGTGGGGTGGGTTCTGGTGGGGCGGGTTCTGGGTGTTTTTACAGAAGGACCCTCTGTAGATGCGCTCAAGGGGTGGCGCGCGGGCTTTGCAGCTTTTACAGAAGGACCCTCTGTAGATGCGCTCAAGGGGTGGCGGATTTGGTGCTTTTACAGAAGGACCCTCTGTATATTCGCCCAAGGGGCCAGACGATTTCAGGTGTGCGCTTCTGTGCGAGGGTGCGTGTGTGGTGCATGTCTGCGAGTGTCTGTGCGTGCTAGTGTCTGGCGTGCGCCTAGTGTGTCTCTATATGTGTGTGCGCCGTGATATGCGTGAGGTGTGCACGTGGTATGTGTATCCGATGGGCGTGCGCGCGCGTGCGTTTCCTCAGTAGGCATGTGTGTGTGGGTGGTGGTGTGTGTGCATGTGTGTGGCGCGGTCTGAGTAGTGTGTGTAGTAAAATGGCATGAGTGTGTGCGGGTGTTCATGTGTACATGGGCGAGTACGTGAGTATCGTGGTGGTGTGTGTACATGTGTGTGTCGTGTGATTGTGTTCGTGTGGGCGTGCGTGCGTGTGTACGCGCGTGTGCACGGTGCTCGCACGCGAATGCCGGGCGCGGCGTGTTCGCGCGAGAGACAAATAAACAGTCGGGGGGGGGGGGGGGAGCAGAAACGATAATGGTGATGTTGTGGAAAGTGATCGTGGTGGCGCGCGCGCGAGTGCGGAATGGCGCGGCCAGGAACTGGCCAAAGGCAGCGACAAAATAGTGTGCGCGTGTGGCGTGTGGTGTGTGTGTGTGTGTTTGAGCGTGCGCCCGTAATGTCTGCGTCTGGGGAGTAACCCTGAGCGACCCGGATCGGCGGCACTGGCCGAAGGCCGCTTGAATATCACTTCCAGCGGAGTACAAAACACTACCAGGGATCACGCGGGAGCTAAATTTGGTAAAAGGCCGCCCTCCGTCTGTGCAGCCCTGTAAAGATTCGACTTTCAATATCCAGCAGCTCCCGCAAAAACAAACCGCCGGAACAAAAAAACGAAAAAAAAACAACCGCTCCCGAAAACAGGCCCCAACTGATCCCGTAGAGGTTCCCGGATACCTTTCAGGACAGCGTTGGCTTGTTACTTCACTCGGTTATCGAAACACTGTTTGCATTTAAGATCTTTGAACTGTGTTCTTAGAAAATAGGTTTGGCTGCGGGTCTGACGGTTCCGTGCTCGCCGTCGCCGGCCCGTCGCCGCTTCATCGCCGCCCGTCTCTGGGCCACAAGTATCGTTCCTTTCTACAAAAAGAATAAAAGGATATCCTTCCCTCCCCCCGGAATTAACGGTACCCGTGTTCGTATCAAAAAATCCATGCGTTTGTGCTCAAACGGCCATCTTCAACATGAGCTCGTACCATCCCAGGGATGCCTGTATCGGGACCCCCCCTTCATTGTTTGCAACCAGTACTATGCGCGCACATTTGTTTATCAACAAGTACCACTTCTCAGAATTCCCTTGGTAAAAAACGGGACGGAAGGCGCACGCGCGCATCGTTGCGCGCGCATGCCAAAATCATCCGCGCACCCTCGGTTTCGCAAGGGTTTCCAAATCCAGTGTCCCGAAACACATCAGAATACCGTGTTTCGCAACACGAATTGACACCAAACAAAAACCTTGCGCCCGCGCTTTTGATTGCGAGCAGTTAAAACAACCATCGGTTCACACAATTCTCATACCATGTTACCAAGCGGACCTCTCGCGAGCGTGTCGTAATCGTTGGAGCGCCCTTGCGCGCGTGCAATCACAAGACCCCCTTTGCAACACATGGGGCGAAATGCACACGCGCACGCGTCGTCGCGCGCACATGCCCCAAACCCTTCGAGCACATCAGGCCGCGTCAGCGGACTTCAACATCGAGTGCCCCGAAACATACAGAAACATATGGCTTCGCAGCGCCAGGTTTCTTATAACAAAGCATGCGCTTGCGCTTGCCATGCAATCACAACGGTACTGTTGCAACAAGTTCGCCCAATTCGGCCAAGCGGATCACTCGCGCCGCATGTCGAAAATCATTCGGGCGCCCGTGCGCGCGTGCTGGGGGGGACGATCCGATTCAAATAACACCATGCGGGCCACTGTCGCGCGTCGGCCACGCGCGCATGTCGAACTCCTTCCAATTCCAAAACCTTCATCACCGACGCGGGGACGCCGTCGTCGTCTTCGGCGAGATTCGCGTCGGCGCCGTCACTGGCCGTGATGCCGTCGGTGTCATCATCGTCGCCAACATCGTCACAATCATCCTCGCGCCTACCGCTGCCGACGTTGCCATGATACCGCGCCCGCCCAAGTCGCCGACTCAAACCGAAGTGCCCGCTGGGAAGTGCCGCGGAAACCCTCACGTGTCGGTACGTTCTTGGTGTTCGAAACATTCCTTCTGGTGACCAAGGCGACAGGAGGTTGGAACATCAAAACCCCAGGTGGCTGCAAGAGGCCCCTGGGAGCCAAGCCTCGCGGATTGCCCCTGGGGGATTGAAGGCTTGCATGAGGTCGGGCATCTCCCCCTACAGGCAGATTTTGGCGTGCTTTTGAAGAACAATCAACAACACGAACACCAATAAAAGAAACATCGTCCCCATATGAATTGTTACTGTTGTTGCATATTCCTCCTGTAGAGGGACAGACTCGACTTCAGGCTTGCAGTGTTCTCGCCTCTCAATGCTGCCAGCGCTCCCAGACGGCCTGCTCCTCCACCAAGGGGGGAAACCACGAGGGACGGGCAAAGGGAACCTGCTCCTCCACCAGGGGAGCCACGGGGGCCGCCCTCCTCCTCCTCCTCCTCCTCCTTCTCCTCCCCGTCCTCCTCCTCACCCTCCTCCTCCTCCTCCTCCTCCTCCCCCTCCTCCTCCCCCTCCTCCTCCTCCTCCCCCTCCTCCTCCCTCCTCCTCCTACTCGCTTTCCTCCCGCTGCTTTGCTCCTCCTGCTCCTCCTCCTCCTCCTCCTCCTCCTCCTCCTCCTCCTGTCCGCCACCCCGCGGTTCCCCCCTTTGTTCTCCCCCGCCTCCCGGGAGGAGGAATGGCCTGGAGGAGGCGGAGGACGGAACAGGGGAGGAACAAAAAGAAGGCGTGGGAAGACGCGGAGGGGGGGGAGGCTACACGAGAAGCGGGCGAGGCAGAAGAGAAAGCCAAGCCTCGTACAAGATGGCGTTGCCCGTGTTCTTCGAGCTGTCCGTGTTGGTGGCGACCTGCGACAGCACGTCCGTCATGTCGTCACTGGCCTGGGCGCAGGCGCCCCAAGACTCGAATCGATAAGTCGGATCGGCGATCGAGATGAATCGGATCGGCGGCAATCGGCAGCCGAGTCGGGAGGAGCCGAGTCGTGAGACATCGGCAGGCCAGTAGGCCTCCGTCGAGACCGCGGAATCCACATCGGAACTCGAGGTCGAACCAAGGGCTCCTCACTTCGCGCTTCGCGCGGCGCGAAGCGCGAACAACTTCGCGCCCTCGCGCCGCCCCCAAGGGGTAGAAGAGGAGGACGAGGAGGGGGAGGAGGAACGAGGCCCGCAAAGCGCGAAGCGCGACTGACTCCGCGCCCTCGTGGGAGCCCTTGCGAGCCGAGTCGAAATCGGGCACCACCGACATCGAAGCCGAACCAGATCGGAGGAGTCGGCGCGAGCTCTGCGCCCGGGCGCCGCGGCCCCGGCATCCGACGAGCTCTCGGCGGCGCCGCGTGGTCGGGGCCGCGGAAGAGGAGCGCGGCGGCGCGGCGTGCCGAGAGCGCGGCGGGGCCAGCGGCGGCACGGCGAGCAGCCGTTTGAACTCCACCGCGCACGCACACCACCACGGGCCATCCTCGATACGCACATCTGCTGGCTACGCGCAGGAGGGGCGAAAAGAGGACCTCTCCCGCGCGATGGACTACTATAGCTCACCGCCACGGGGAGGTACGTTAACCAAAATGCGTGAGCGGAGGAGGAGGGGCAGCGAGAGGCAGAGAGGGAGACCCAGAGAGAAGAGCGAGAGGGGTGAGCACATGTGTGTCTCTGTAAAACTAAGAGACAGAGGGAGAGAGAGAGAGAGAGAGAACAGCAGCACGATAGCTATGTATACTAAACCATCGATCGCGCGCTTCTCGCGCGCTCAGGTTCTAAATGAGGTCACCGCTCAGGTGCGATGCCCGCGACGATTCTTACCACGAAGACGGCGGCGTGCACTGCAAGCCACGTTGGGCGCAGTCTTCACACGAGAAGTGCCCCCCAGGGAGCGCTACCGATGGCCTGAGGGAAACGCAAAGTTCGCATAGCGTCACCCTGGCAATTACGGAACGCCACCCATTGACAGAGACAAAGAAAACCTGTGCCAATCAGGCGGCGTCCCAGGAACGGTCTCAGGTTTTTGGACCGGAGGCCGCATGTAGACGTACATGAAGGTTTCTGGGGAAGCCTCTCAGAAGCCCGTTGGGGCCCTTTCGGGGGTCTCCTGGGGGCTTCCTGGGAACCTCGGGAGGCCTCTTGGAAGCCTCTTGGGGGGCCTCTGGAGGCCCTTGGGGGCCTGCCGCGGGCGTCTTGGTGGCCTCTGTGGGCCTCTTGGGGGTCTCTTAGGGGCCTCTTGGGGGCGTCCTGGGGCGGAGGGGCTGGAAGGTTCAGTTGGGTTTCCCGTCTTGGGCCCCTCTTGGGGCCCTTCGGGGACGCGTTTTGGCCGTCCTGGGCGCCTCTTGGACTGTCCTGGGCACCTCTGGGGCCGTCTTGGGGCTCTCTTGTGGACTTCGGAGATCATTTTTGTTATTCCGGCCGGTAACGCTCGTTACCCGGGGGGGGGGGGTCGTGCCCCCCGGGTAATGGTAACGCTTGGGCTGGGCGGGGTATGGCGAAGCAGGGGCGCTCTGCGATCGCCATAGTATGCGCGCGAGCAGCACTCTCCGCCTGAGAGCACCACAGTGGCTTGCGATTCGAGTACAAGCGCAAAGCCCGCCGCGTGGTCCCGGCACCACGCCCGCGCCCGCGCGCGCGACGACGATGATCGACGAGCGACGAGCGACGAGGTCGACGACGACGACGACGACGTTTGCCGCCTGTTTCGGCCTCCGGAGGCCGTTTTCGGGCGCCGTCGACGACGACGACGACGACGACGACGACGACGACGACGACGACGACGACGACGACGATTCGAGTACAAGCGCAAAGCCCGCAAGCACCAGCATCGCGCATGCGAGCGCCGCAATGGCCTGCGAGCGCCCACAGTGCGCCTGCGACCACCACACCACAGTGCGCATGCCTTCGGGCACCAGCATGTTGGAGGGGAAGACCGAGACCCCCCCCGCGTACGAGCGTTACCGTTACGGGGGGGGGGGGGGAGAGGCCCGGGTAACGAGCGTTACCCCCCAGAGGATAAAAAAATAATCTCTCGTGGGCCGTCTTGGGGCGGTCTAGGGAGAGTCTGAGGTCGTAAAGGACGGTACGGAGGCCAACAAATCGAATATATATGATAAAAGCGTACGTTTTACGAAGGAAACGGGGCTATTTTTGATTCCCGGGACCGTCTGGGGGGATCTCTTGGAGGGGTCTTCGAGCGTCTTGGAGGCGTCTGGGGCGGTTCGAGACGCCTCTTGAGCCGCAGGAGACCGCTGGAGGTTGTCTTCAGAGTGGCTCTAGGCGGCCTGGGGCCGCCTGGACGGCCGTCTGGGCGCTCCCGGGGCCGACCTGGGGCCCGCCGGGGAGCGGGCTGGGCCCGACGTCCCCCCATTTGCGGTCGAGGCTGCGGCCCCCGGGGCCCCGGGCCCGGTGCGGCGTTATATGTATATGTATATAGAGAGGGCGGGGAATATATAGAGAGAGAGGGAAAGAGAGAAACAAAAAAAAAAAAATGGAGAGAGAGTGAAAACAATAGAAACAGACAAGGGGAGAGTTTGAGGGAGAGGGCGAGGACGGGACAGAGAGAGAGAGAGAGCAAACAACAAAAAACAACAACAACAACAACAACAACAACAACAACAACAACAACAACAACAACAACAACAACAACAACAACAACAACGACAACAAAAACATCTGTGCACAGCCTGAGCGGGACTCCACTTGTTGCCTTCCCTTCGCGGCCGCTTCTCCGTCTGCCCCGCTCATGCAGGCGCAGTCTGCTACCGCGCAGCCCGCCGTAGCTTCGACCGCGGTGCGTCCTGGGCTCTGCGACAGAAGAAAGAAGGCGGATGGGCGGGCAAGATGGGGCGAGGGACGAGGAGCCAGCAGTGAGCGAGGCAACGAACATCAATCGGACCCCCGCCTCCAACTGTCGGCTGCCTTGCCGACTCCGCCTCCTCGTCCTCCTCCTTTTCCTCCGCCGCCGCCGCAGCTTCCGCCTTCGCCTCCGCCTCCGCCTTCACCTCCGCCTCCGCTACCGCCTCTACCTCCGCCGCCGCCTCCGCCTACTCCTCCTCCTACTCCTCCTCCTACTCCTCCTCCTACTCCTCCTCCGCTGCTCCTCTTCCTCCGACTCCTCCTCCTCCTTCTCCCATTACTCCTCCTCTTCCTCCTCCTTCTCCTCCTCATCAAAAACCACACCCCCTTTTCATCCATATCCTCCCCATCCTCTCCTTTCTCCGCCACACACATCCTCCGCCTATGCCTCCTCCTCTTCCAGACTCCCCCGCCCGTGCCTCCTCCCCCCTCCTCCTCCTCCTCCTCCTCCTCCTCCTCCTCCTCCTCCTCCTCCTCCGGCTCCTCTCCTCCTCCTCCTCCTCCTCCTCCTCCTCCTCCTCCTCCTCCTCCCTCCCCTCCCCCTCCCCCTCCCCCTCCCCCTCCCCCCCTCCTCCTCCTCCTCCTCCTCTCCTCCTCTCATCTTCCTCCTACTCTTCCTCCTCCTCCTCCTCCTCCTCTCTCTTCCTCCTCTTCCTCCTCTTCCTCCCCCTCCTCCTCCTCCTCCTCCTCCTCCTCCGCCCTGGCCTCCTGTCCGCCTCCCCCAACCACGTGCCTCCTCTCGCCACCGCTCGGACGCCCAATACACGTGCTCGCGCGGCCGGTTACTACTCCCTCGAGAGATGACCCGAGATGCTTCCCGATGGCCCCGCCGAGGCAAAATGCACACACCCCAGCGATGTCAAGTCCTGCGCCTCCTCCTCCTCCTCCTCCTCCTCCTCCTCCTCTTCCGCCTCCTCCTCCTCCTCCTCCTCCTCATCATCATCATCATCATCATCATCGTCATCATCATCATCATCATCATCAGCATCATCAGCATCAGCATCAGCATCAGCATCAGCATCAGCATCAGCATCATCATCATCATCATCATCATCATCAACAACTACGTCATCACTATCATCATCATCATCACCATCATCATCAATAATCATCATCATCATCATCATCATCATCAACCTCAACCTCAACCTCAACCTCAACCTCATCATCATCATCATCATCATCATCATCATCAGCATCATCATCATCAGCAGCAGCAGCAGCAGCATCATCATCATCACCATCATCATCCTCATCATCCTCGACTCCTCCTCCTCTTTCTCCTCCTGTCTCTGTTGGCGGCGAGCGCGGGGGGGGGGGGAAAGAGAAGGGGCGGGCCTTCTTAGAAGACTCGGAAGTCCTCTGGCCTTCTGAGAAGTTCTCCAAGCCTCCCCCGAAAATGCAGAACATCTCTCAGAAGGCGCGAGGGTTCCTGGGAAGACCCGCCGCCTCCTGAGAGGGCCTTCTCCTCCTCCCTTCCCCCCCTCGCTCGCCGCCGAAAGGATGGCTGGACTGACTACCTACCAGACCACCCCAACCCAACCCGAAGACCCGAATTTGACCCGAATTTCGGGTTGGGGGGGGTACGGGCTCCATGTGTTTTTTCGACGTTCCCCGCCCCCCCCCCACTGGAAATGGAGGGCAGATTGAGGCCTTCGGGTTGGGTTGGGGGGGGTTGGTAGGTGGTGATGGACCGTCGAACTCCCTCGTCCTCGGGTCGAAAGCCACGGGCGCCCCCGGCGCCGGCCTCCACGGAGTTCTCCCCCAGCATGCGCAGGAGCTTCAGGAGCTTCGCCTGGAGGGGAGCGCGCGGGGCCCCCCGCGCGCCCCAGTGGGCCCGGCGCGCGGAGCCTGCCACGCGGCGGGCCTCCCCTCGTTCCCCGGCCCCTGCCCCTCCCCCCTGCGGAGCCCTCCCCTCCCCGTCTGCCTCCGCCCGGCCAGCAGGACGAGGAGGAGCGGGAAAGGGGGGAGGGAAGGAAGACACGGGGATCGACCTGAACAGTGTCTTCTTTTCCCGTTATGTTTAGGAAGAAGACGACTGCATCGCCCAAACGCCCTGTAGGTCGACCCCTGGAACGACAGGTGTGAAAGGGACGGGAGGAGGGGGAGGAGAAGGACGGGAAATGAGGCGGGAACGTGCAGACTGTTGCCCTCATGATGCCTGCCGTTCCTCGCCGCCCGTGTTTCCTCTCGCTCTTCCCCACCTCAGTCAAGGCCTTGGTCGGGGACTCAATCAGGCCTTGCAGAATTCTGAAAGGTCTTGCGAGATCCTGCACCCAGACCAGGGCCAACGCGAGGGATCCTGCAAGGTCCTACAAGATCCTGCACCCAAGCCCGGGTCAATGCGACCCTGGCCCTGCAGGATCCTGGAAAATCCAGCGCTGTAGCTGCTCCGATCTCGGGATGCCCTCGCCCCGCCCCCTTCTCCGGCAGAAGATCTCGGGGCCCCATCTCTAGGAGAACGAAGAATGGCATAAACGTGAGAACTCGGAGGTCTGCCACCCCGGGCGCGCTCCGCGCGCCAGGAGGGGGGTGCAGCGCACGTCCGAGAAATCCGCGCGGACCTCTGAGTTTGTTATGTTTATATGGATGTTCGTTCCCCCAATCCCCCCGCCCCTTCGCCCCCGATCTCGGCGCCACCGTCGCGCCGTGGTAAGGCGCGGCGCTCGAGCTAAACAGCGCGTTCTCCGCGTTCGCTACATGTTTTCGCTACCACTCGCTCTGGCTTCGGTCTGCCTTTTGCGACGAGACGGGATCCCAGCGCAGGCGGTCCACGACGTCGCCCAAAGACGCCGCTGTCGGCTCGAGCTTTGGCGGGGCACCTGCCCCTCAGACTCGACGCGGCGCCCGCGGCAAAGGTCGCCGCCCCCGCCTCTCGGCCACCGCTCGGGGCCCTGCCGAGCACCCTGCACGAAGAGGTAGGAGGAGGAGGGGGAGGAGGAGGAAGGGGAGGAGGACTGGACTGGATCAATCGCGAAGCGATGGGCAACGTCGCGCTGACCTTCTCCGAGCCCGCGGCGACAAGGAAGGACTCGACAACGAACTCTGGATGTGCCAGCGCTGAAAGAACCAGATCGAAGGGCGCGACCATAAGACCTGAAAGCTGAAACGTACGGAACGCGTGGATGCCGTAGAAGAGCCCCTCCAACGCGCCGCTCCTTCAGCCCATGCTGGCACCAATAAGAATCCACCCATCTCGCAAGACAGAGCGCATGACACAAACCGCGAGTCGGCGGGGCGAAGAACCACGCAGCTGCGCCGGCATGCGAACCGTGACGCATGAAAACGAGATGCGCATAATACCCCTCGCCAGGGAGAAACCACTTGTCCAAACACAACCATCCATTGAAGCACACCCAGGCGGGAGGCGTCGGGTCAGTGCACGTAGGCTCCCACTGTCCCTCCCGCCTGGGAAGGATGTCGAAGAGACCGAGCAGCAACGTAATAACCGTGCGTATATGCACAGTATGCCGAAGGGCACCACTGCGCAGCGACTCCAAGGGAATAGTCAGCAGTTGGTACTCCGCCTCGCCCCTGCAGTCACAGATAAAAGGCCGAAGGCGCGAACCCTCCAAGAGATCCCCAAGAAGCCCCAAGAGGCCCCCACGAGGCTTCCAAGCGGCCCCTAAGAGCTTCCCAAGAGGCCCACAAACTACCCCCAGGAGGCCCTCAAGAGCACTCGTCGTCGTCGTCGTCGTCGCCATTCAGGGTCGGCGGCACCGGCCGCAAGGCCTTCGCAATAATCAGCAGTTGGTACGCCGCCTCGCCCCTGCAGTCACAACTAAAAGGCCGAAGGCGCGAACTGGTACACCCAGGCGGGAGGCGCTGGGTCAGGGCGTGAAGGCTCCCGCTGTCCCTGCCGCCCAGAATGGATGCCGAAGAAGAGGTGCAGGAAAGACACCCAGAAGAATACGCACAGCAAAACATACAGTCGAGGCGTTGACCTAAGGAACCCCAAAAAAGGAACGAGGCCCCTTTGTTTCCATAAATTAACCTTCGATCTCCTATCGAAAACCGGAGGAAAACCTGAGGCAAGCTGTGAAACACTTAAGGAACGCGCAGCCCCTCCCCAACCAAAAGGGATCCTTCTTCGGGGCCCCGATTGTATTGCTGCGCGGCTGCTCCCAGGAAAAAGACAACCACACCAAACATCGATCGGAATTTTGCTCCGTTGAGCCACGTGGGTAGCTGTCCGAAACCGTAGAGGTTGACCCGAGTTCAGCAGAGGTGAAATCGGCTCGATGCGGCTCTTGTTCAATGGTGTGCAAACACCACTGGTCATCGGGCAACCCCCGAGAAGGATCGCCTCCTCCACGGACAGCCCCACAATAACTATACAAAGACGAAAGGATGCCACCCACTGCCCCTCAGGCGCCGACGTGGCGGCACGGAGCTAGGAGTCCCATGGCAAGTGCGAGCCCAGATGGTTACGACACGCGCCTCGGGTCCCCCGTGCTTGAGAAGAGGAGGAGGAGGAGGAGGAGGAGGAGGAGGAGGAGGAGGAGGAGCTGGAGAAGGAGGGAGGGAGGGAGGGAGGGAGGGAGGGAGGAGGAGAGCACGTATCTCGAGACGGGCATCCCTCTCGAGGCACCGCGGCGCGAGCTCCATCTCGTGGCCGACGCCCCATCTCTCGGCGTGCGCATGGCCCTCGCCCGCATGCCTGCCGGCGCGGGCGGCTCGCCTGGCGCGTCTCGCCCCCCCGTCGATGCCCAGGTCGAGGGCCTGCTGCTTGACCCTGGCCCCTTGCCTGCTGTACAGCTTGTGAGCGCGACCTCTTGGAGCACCTCACTTGTTGTTGCCGATGGTCGTCGACCTCGTGGACCCTGCCCGATAGGCGTTCATGGCGCCTGCCATGCAAACCATACAAGCTGCAAAAGACACCGATAAAACCACTGCGTGCGAAGATGATGATGCTGATCATGATGATGACAATGATGATGATGCTGATGATGATGATGATGATGATAATGACGACGATGATGATAATGATGAATATGAGGATGATTCGGATGATGATGATGATGATGATGATGATGATGATGGTGATGATGCTGATGCCGGTGATGTTGGTGATGATGCTATGGATGATGATGCTACTGGTGATTATGATGATGCTGATGATGGTGATGCTGATGATGATGCTGCAAATGATGCTGATGATGATGGTGATGACGATGATGATGATGATGATGGTGGTGATGATAATGATGGCAATCATGACGACGATGACGATGCTGATGATGGTGATGCATATGATGATGCTGATGATGATGCTGCCTGGTGATGGTTATCGTTATGGTACTAACGATGGAAATGGTGATGATGATGCTGATGATGATGAAGAATATGATGCCAAATATTATGGTGATGATGTTAACTATGGTGACACTGGCAATGATGGTGACGATGATGACGATGACGATGACACTGACGGTGACGATGCTGATGATAATGATGATGACAGTGGCGATGCTGCTAATGATGATGATGTTGATGCTGATGATGATGATGCCATTGATGATGAAGATGCTGATGCTGGTGATAATGCTGATGATGAGGATGCTGATGATGATACCGATGGCGATGATGATGATGATGATGTTAATGATGATGACGATGATGATGATGCTGATGATGATAATGACGACGATGATGATCATGATGAATCTGTGGATGGTTAGGATGATGATGATGATGGTGATGCTGATGATGATGTCGGTGATGTTGGTGATGATGCTATGGATGATGATGCTACTGGTGATTATGATGATGCTGATGATGGTGATGTTGATGATGATGCTGCAGATGATGATGATGATGATGATGATGATGATGATGATGATGATGATGGTGGTGGTGGTGGTGATGATGATGGCATTCATGACGACGATGACGATGCTGATGATGGAGATGCATATGATGATGCTGATGATGATGCTGTCTGGTGATGATGATCGTTATGGTGCAAACGATGGTGATGGTGATGATGATAATGAAGAAAATACTGCCAAATACTATGGTGATGATGTTAACTATGGTGACACTGGTAATGCTGGTGACGATGATGACGATGACGATGACACTGACGGTGACGATGCTGATGATAATGATGATGACAGTGGCGATGCTGCTAGTGATGATGATGCTGATGCTAAATATAATGGCATTGATGATGAAGATGCTGATGATGGTGATAATGCTGATGATGATGAGGATGAGGATGATGATGCCGATGGCGATGATGATGATGATGATGATGATGGTGGTGATGATGATGCTTATGCTGCTGTTGAAGATGATGCTGATGCTGATGGTGATGGTAGTGGTGGCGGTGATGATAATGCTGATGATGTGAATGACTATGATGAAGAAGAGGAAGAGGAGGAGGAGGAGGAGGAGGAGGAGGACAGGGAGGAGGAGAAGGTGGAGGAGGAGGAGGAGGAGGCGGAGCAGGAGAATGAGGAGGATGCTGGAGCTTGCGTGATGGTGATGACGAGGAGGTCCAGAGGACGAGGAACATGGCGGACAAGGAAGGCGGAGGCTGAGAAGGGCCATGCCTTCCTTGCCCAAACTCTGGTATCTCCGCGCCTGCAAGAACGGGTCGATGATGCCGGCGATGTCGTACTCGGCCGCGTTCGCGTAGCCAGACGTCACCATGTTGCGCAGGGCACGGACCAGCGCTGGGATGTGCCTGCAGGGCTTGCGACCAGGGACGACGCGGGGGCGCTGAAGACGACGAGGAGGAAGAGGACGAGGAGAGAGAGTAGGACGAGGGGGCGTTGAGGACCACGATGGGGGAGGAGGACGAGGAGGAGGAGGAGGAGGACGAAGAGAAGGGATAAGGAGGAGGACGAGGGGCGATGAGAACGACGAGGAGGGCGAGGGGGAGATGATCAGGGCGACTTCATGGGCGGAGCGGGCTTCGGGGTGAAGGAACGGGACGATCAAGGGGGATCTTGGCTATGGTCTCCGCTGGTGCCAGGCGCAAAGGACGAGGCCGCCTGCTCACCCTACTTTGGCTTCCCCCGCAAGCAGGCAAGGGACTCCAAGAAGGGGGGTTCCAGCAGAGGAGACAAGGAGGTTCCTCGTCCTCATCCGCGCCTCCTCATTCTCGTCCTTCTCCTCCTCCTCCCCCTTCCCTTCCTCGTCCTCGTCTTCCTCCTCCCCCTGTCCTGATTTCTCTCCTCTGCAGTGGCTCAACATGCATACGGCTCCCCTCCCTGACATGAGCTTGCAGGCTTTTTCGGCCCCACCTCGCCATAGCGGCGCCGTCGCCCCACCTCGCCCCCCCCCTTCCCCTCCTCCGACTTCCCCTGGTCCAACTGCCCTCGTCTCCTCTTCCTTCTCCTCCTCCTCCTCCTCGATTGTCCTCCTCCTCCGCCTCCTGTTCATTCTTTATTATTTCCACCAAGTCTCTTTCCCATATATAGAAGACCCTTCCTGATCGAGCATGGCGCGATGGGGTCGTTTTGCGGACCCAGGTCCGCTCGGACACCAGCGGCGCATAGACAACACATCAGCGCCATGGGAACGGATAGATGGGAGTGGTAGGGTGTCAGATATGGCACACGCGCGCACCTAGCATGCGTCTGTTCTCTTACCTCTACGTTTCGTTTTTGTCCTCCCCCCTCTCTCTCCTTTCTTCTGTCCTTCCCTCCCCTGTGTGTTCCACCCTCCAAATTCCGAACCACATCCTCCCCCTCACCCTACGCCATCATTGTCTTCCTCCTCCTCGGATTCCCTTCTTGTTGTTCCTGTACCTCGTGTGATATCTCTCTCTCTCTCTTTATGTTTTTGCCTCTTCATTTCGCGTGTGTTGCTCTCTTTTCTCCCCATAAACATATGCATATGCACTTACAGGTGTATATATATATATACGCATAACGACATGCGCATGACGACATATACATGTGTTATATGTACATGTATGTATATGGATGATGGTGCATGTCTATATGTATGCATGCATGCATGCATGCATTTATGTATGTATGTATGTATGTATGTATGTATGTATGTATGTATATATGTATATACGTATACACATACATCCTCCTCTCTTGTCCCAGCCTCTCTTTACACATATTCACATATGTGTTCTCGTCTTCCCCCCTCCTGTCCACCCTTCCTCTCTCCTCCACTCCCCGTTCTCTCCTCCTTCTCCTCCCTCTCCCCCCTTCCTCTTCGGTGCCGCGCGGGGAGCGACGCCCTGCCGCGGCAACCCAAAGTCTGCTCCCCAGGGCCTACCCGCGGCCTCCCCTGAGGCATACATAGGTCAACTGATCGTACTGACGAGAGGACAATACTCCAGGGCTCTGAGGGGCAGCCATTGGAAAGTTGACGGCGCCTGAGGTCTCCACAATGCTTGCGATGGATGCTTTTGCACGCACGCGTGCCAACACAAACGTGCTCCGCCAAAGGCTGAGCAATAGTGAAAAGCAAACGGTTGCCCACAAGGACCTGCTCACGCTGCTGGCTGGTACACCGCGGCATTCCCCACCTATGCTGGTTCATTCGCAGTGGGGGGGCAAGAGACAAGGCTCGAGCGCACCCCAGCGTCTTTTGAGTCTGGGGTGGAGGCCCTTCGAAGCTTGGCCGCAGCCGAGAGGTCCTCTGCGGCTATACCTCTGACAAGCCCGCGCGGAGGGTAGAGGCCTCCCACGACGCCGTGGTCGGTTGGCGCGCAGCTCAACACCCCTCCATACGGCACCTGCATCACGACTGCTGCAAAAGTGCACGGCTGCGACCTGCACGCGGTCGCCATGCCCTGGGCGCGTTGCAGAACGAGTCCACAGGCCAGCGGCTGTGCGAAGAAATCGAAATGGCCAATTTTTCCACGACCTCGGCCTGAGGCCCGGGACAATCCGGAATTACCCAGGACAAAGAAAGGCACCTCGGGGAGCCCATGCCACGTCACGAGAGAGCCGATAAGGCTCCAAGACGGCTCCGAGAGAGCCCCCAGAAGCCACCGAGCAGCGCTCCACGTTTCGCAAGGTCCTCCCCCCCAGTAGCCCAAACCCTGTGGCGTCGTATGTAGTTGGACCAGTCTTCGATGTTGTCCGCCATTGTTGAATCCCCTTCCGTATGGTCGATAACGGAATCAATCGAAAGCACGGTGATCGTAAACTCTGGATGTCGGACAAGTGCCACTGGATGTCCCCTTGGCGCCTCCTCCCGCATAAAAAAATTGCATGAAAACGTCGGCCCTCTTAATGCGACGCGGCACAAGCATTGTCGCGGCGCCGTCGTAGTCACTAGCCCGAAAAATGTAGTACCTATCGTCAACCGGAGGCTGTTGTGGGTCCCGTGGGGCTTCTGTAGCAGTGGGCCTGCCACCCCTTCATGAGCGTGGCTAGGGCCTCCTCAAGAAACTTTTAGTGGGTCTCTCGAAAAACCTCCCTTGCCTCCTGCTCGCTGGAGCGTGAAAAGACCCAAGCGGCCGCCCTTATCATGCCTCCGATCCCTGCATATGATGGATATGCCGATCTCCAGCGTCCAAGTCTTGTCGTCCTACGTTGCTGGCGCTCGAGTCGGTCTGCCTCTGCGGCGTGCGCCGTCTGCTCTGCAAGAGGCTGGGCTCCGCGACACACGTGCGCTAAACAACAACGTGCTGCATCGAAAGCCAGGCGATCTCCCACCTGCCGTCGGGAAGCGAAGTCGGCGTTGCATGCTCCGCACTGTGTTCCCTGCCCCAGGAGTCGTTCAACCTGGGCAAACATGCTGACATGGTTTCTGACGACGTCCTGCCGGAGGGCCCTGGGCTTGACTGGCTGGATTTGGCACCGCGGGCATTCCAGATCGCGAGCCGGAGTGTCCCGAAACTTCCGAACTGAGAGGCCAGAGAAGGCGACTGGCACCGGAAAGCCGCAAGGCTTTGTTGTGTCGAACAAGTTCGTTTTCAACACCGTTCGCAAATGCTGCACTCGCACATGCCGCTGAAACTCCTACCCGAGCTGAGTCCTCGCAAGAGGATTCCATGCTGGGCGAGAAGTGTCTCCAACCTGTTTGCACACCCCCGGAGCCAAGTAAAATCATCGAAGACGTGGTCATCCAAGAGACCCAATTATTGATCCCAGCCGGTGGGCCCGAGAAGCCCCGGCTAGAAGTCCACATCCGGCGTCGGACACAACGCGGCTAACTCTCCCCAACTGTCGCAAGCGATGGATCCTTAGCTGACGTCGAGGACAACTCTCCAGACACAGCTAGGAAAATCACATCCGCGACTGCCCTGTCGTCGCACCGAAAAAAGCCGCAAGCGGCCAGTATCGTTTTATGAGCGCGTTGTGAACGGGTTGTTATATGCACCTGTCTCGAAGTCGCTACAAGTACGCGCGTCGAAGAGGAGCGAAGACGAGATGAACGAGTCGACGAAGCGAAGCATCATGCCTGGGGCCTCGGGGCTCTTGGGTGCCGCTTTGAAGACCTCCCCAACGAGGAACTACGAGGGTTGAGCCACACCTGCGATTTCATGGGCACCTTTGGGCCCACAGCACACCTTTCAGCCATGATAGTTCCCAGGCGTCGAACCTGTCGTTCAACGCGCACTCACATATGACCTATAGTGTCGTCGTACCACAGTACTGTACCCTTCATGTCCTTCCACAATACCATGCGTTGCAGTAGCATGCTTCCCGTGAAACTAGAAGAGCAGCTCGGACCTGCCTGTCTTGAAATTAAGCAAGAGACCTCGCGATGCACACGAGGCTGCAACAACGCCTGCAATCTGAGGCGCGAGCTGCAGTAATTCCAGTGGGTTGCCCTGGATGGTAAACGCGCCGTCGTAAGATATAAAATCATTCGCAGGTGTCGTTGCTGCAGGCTCGTGCCCAATCATCTGCGCGATGGAAATTCCCTGAACCGCTGATACCTGATGTTCTATGTTCAGATGCTGGAGTCGGCCCCGAGCTAGCTGCATGATTTCCGCCATGGCGTCGCTAAAGGTGGCATCCCCCATCAGCTGCCCCGGGGCCGCCCCAACGAGAGAATCTGCCACCATCGTGGGCCCAGGCTGGTGGAACCAGGGCCCGTGATACGATGACGCCACTAGAGCCTGCACGCGGGGGGGGGAACCAACTTCTTCCATACAAATGGGGTCTTTAGCCAACCGTTCACGCATGCGGTGCATCGCCGTTGGAGGCAGGCCTGCGGTCTTTAAAATCGACGCCACGCCCTCAGCAGTGCGAACTGATCTCGCGACTAGTTGTCGTGCGGATGCGCAGAAAAGCTTCTGCCACATCCATGAGGATATACATGATACTGACATTGCGAAAGTCATCTATATGCTGAAATGCGCGCATCGCAAACCCTGCTGTGCGCCTGCAATACCTCCGATCATGGGCGGGGTGGAACCTGGCAGCCAAAAGCTGTCGGCGAAGACGAGCAGTGGGATGCGCTGGATGGGCCTGTTAAACAGGTCCACCTTAGAGTAGGCGTAGCACTGCGCATCCAGGGCCAAGAGGTCTTCGCGATAGCCCCACCCTTTCGCTTCACACATCGACAGGAAAGGCATGATGAGGGAGTAGTCCATGATGACATATTTCACTTTTTGGGCCCATCGGAGTCTGCTTGACAAATCGAACGGGCCCTGGAAACTGGTCTCGAGGGAGGGAAGCGGGGCGGGGTGAGTCTGCATTTGCCACGTCGCACTTCCATTGCAGCCGCGACGATGTCAGGTGCGCCCGCGAGCTTAAAAGAACGGCCCTGGACGCCGCAGCCATCGCAATCAAAGCATTTCTTCGCATGCGCGTAGACCATCAGCCTTGACGTGTAGAGGAATACGAAATCCAATAGCTTTCTACACTCGGATTCTTAATATGCGTATCACTCCAGCTCCCTGATGCGCCGGGCGAACAGCAAATTGATTGGCCGAAATACTGCGGGCCGCCATGCCCCGACTCTGAGGGTTGCACGCGGGCCTCCCGCGTGACAGAGAGCGCCGCAATGGGGCGCCACTTTTGGATGAAGAGAGGGTTTATCATGTTTAAATGAGGCGCACGTCGTGTTCGCCCCGCCCTGAAGGTTCGTCGCGGGCGGGGTCGCGGAGGATCCGAAGCTCGAAGAGAGGCGAGGCAATCGTAGAAATCGACGGAGGCGTCCAGGGACATTTCGACGGCGCGCATTTCACTACGAGGACATACCCTTTTTCATGTTCTGCAATACCCGTCGAACTCGAGGGCCCGACGCCTGCCCCGCAGCGTCGAGATCCGAGCGATCATGTCTCTTCATTAACCGCGCTGGAAGGGGCATGGCGCCCCGGGAGCGGTGGGGGCCACCGACAAAAGCCCCGGCAACTCGCAGAGTCTCATCTGCGCCCGAAGTCAAGACACCCTGCTCATTAAACGTCTAGCCTGCCACGTCGGCGGCGGCGCGTCCTGGTCTGAACGACCCTTCGAGAGCAGCCAATCGCATGCGTGATCGTGACGAACGCACTGAATCTGTCTTTTCACTAGCGTCTCGGGCGTCGTGAAAAATGTCGGTGAACCAAAAATGTGAGTGTTGCGGCGGAAGGGGTTGAACATGTTCGAGCGTGGTCTTCAGGGTCCCGTCGAGATCTTGCGGGTTTCGGGGGGGGGGGGGCTCTCTGGCGCTTCTTCCACGGTGGGCGGCGGCCGTCGCGACGGCGTCCTCCAGGTCGCGAAAGGGCGGGGGGGGGGGGGTCGGCCCCGCTGGTCGGCGATGGGGGCGGGGCGACTCACGGAGAAGCTCCGAGGCCGCGTCGAGGTCCACGGGGGCCACGGGCGCAGCAGGGGGGTCGAGGGACGTCGTCGAAAAGTCTCTATGGCGAGGTTGTTTGCGGAGCGGGAGGGAAACGGGGGGCGGATACTCGAAATCGACCCCATGGGCGACACTCGGCGGGGCCGCCCAGGCGCTTTCTTCGCCAGAGGGGGGGGGGGGGGGGCCCAGGGGTCCAACAGATTTCTCCGAGCGTCTCTCGGCCGGCCAATGGCCGATGGCAAAAGCGCGAACCGTCCGACGGGCAGGGCGGCGGGAGTCGGGGTCAACGCCTTCTTTGGTCAACTGGCCCACAGCCGCGTTTCCCACGTCCCGGGCATGACCTTTGCGCCACTCTGGGGGGCGCACCTGGTAGCGACTGCATACCTCCTGCCACAAGGCCTGGAGCGCTGCCACCATATTGCACTTGCTTCTGTCTCGCCATCTCTGCCGAGAATCGAAGATTAATGTGGTCTTTACCTGGGGGGGGAGGTTTCGGCGGCGGCGGAGGGGGTCGAATGGCTGCTTCCGTCGAATTCGAGTTCGGGCCCTGAATTTAAGCTGAAGCCGCAAGGGCATATGATCAGAGGCAGCAGCCGCGGAGAACTCGACCGAACGGGAGGTAGCCGAGGGAGTCTGAGAGCGACTCAGCAGATCGTCAATTTGTTTGGTGTCTCGACGCTGTCCGAGGTCAGGGATGTGAGTACATGGGGCCGCACTTCATTCGCCAATGAACAGTGTTCTCGGCGCGCAAGCCCACCTCCATCATAAGAGCTCACGATTTTTCCAAACCGCATTATCGCGTCGAAAAGGCTCATGGGGGACACGGGTATAAAAGGCCAATGTGGCCGGAATCGAGGCCGGAGTTTGTTATCGAACCCAGATAAGCATTTGCATCCACACCTACGGTCACCTCGATGCCATTCGGAAACGAGGTAGCATGCTTACAGTTCCCTGCCCTTTGGCGGGCGCAGGTGGGCAGATCCCACCACGACATGTTTAAATTCTGGGTGCTCACGCAGCGCGCCAACGCAACGGGCACCTTGAACAACGTCTAGCACCTTCCAGCCACAATCTTGATGGATGACGATCGCACGTTGCCTGTCTCTGCCGCTTGGGGCGGGCCACGCTAATTCGATGCCCATCGATGTGTTCTGGGGGTTCGGCGCGGCGGTGGGCGTCTGCTGCGTCATACTGCAGTGATGTGATGAAAGCCTCCTGCCAGCCGATGCACGACGAAGAAACACTCTATCACTTGATCTCCTGGACCGCTCTCGGCGATGCCAGGCATGTTCCCGCGACGGGGTCGCCTCGTCAGCTAGATCCTGGCCTAGCTTCAGAAACAAGGATGCGGGCGACGCACGTAAGGCCCGACATTGGGCTGAGGTGTTCGCGCAATCTCGCGCTCAAAACCTGAGCCGATCAATGGCCTTTAGGCAAGTGGGACTTAGGAGGCAACTACTGGGAGGCTTTCGTCGGAAAAATTGAAGAGGACGAAGCCCAATTTGGGAGCTGTTACGCCGGAATGGACCTCGGACTAAGCAGGATTAAGCCGGATTAAGCGGGATTAAGCGGGATTAGGCCGGATTCAGCGGGATTCAGCGGGATCTCGGACCAGGGCTAAATCAAAACTTGACCTCCCAGGAATTGACGGGCGTGCCGAAATGGGCAGTGCCGCCATGCGGGCACTGCCGCTGAGGCTTTCGGTGAGGCTCCCTATGGGGCTCCCGAGGGGGCCATGGACCATGAGGGGCGTGCCGAATCGAGGGCGGGTACGCCCAGCGAACGCAGCCACTGGGGCCTTCGGTGGAGCTCCATGTGGGGCCGCGGAACGTGTGAAGAGTGTGCCAAATCAGGGGCGGGTACGCCATGCGAACGCAACCACTGGGACCCTCGGTGGAGCTCACTGTAGCACTATGGGGCGACGAAGCGTGTGAGGGGTGTGTCGAATAGGGGGTGGGTACACCATGCAAACGCAGCCACTGGGGCCTCCAGTGGAGCTCTTTGAACGTGTGAGGGGTATGCCGAATCAGGGGCTGGTGCGCCATGCGAACTGGGGCGTTCAGTGGAGCTCTGAGGGTAACGGAGCGTTAATGGGTGTGCAAGGTGCAAGTATCGCAGAATGATGCTGACGATAATACGTGGAGGACAGAAGTAAGGATGGGAGGAGGAGGAGGAAGAGGAGGAGGTGAGGAAGAAAAAACGCGGGGCGATGCGTCTTCGAACCGAAGCCTGAACACCACAAGATGGTTGGGAAACGCATTGAAGAGGTGGGAGGAGAGGAGCGCATGCGGGGCGTTGCGTATTCAAAACGAGGACCCAGCACAGCAGGATGGTGTGGCAGCACAGCCGGTTGCAGCACAAGATGGTCCTGGAGAAAGACCCAAGCAGATGCAGCTGCGACCATCGCGTGCCGGTGGAGGCCTTCGGCCGCCGGGGCCCTCGCCGGAGGATCCCCGTGAGGCCGCAGAAGAACGCGCGAGAGGTGTGCAGAGGTGGGTGCGGGCGTGCCATGCGGACGCTGCCGCCGCCGCTGGGCCTTCGGTGGAGGCCCCCTATGGGGCCACGGAGCGCGTGACGGGAAGACCGGATTGATTGGGTCTGGGTGCGCCATGCGGACGCTGCCGCTAATGCCTTCGGCGGAGATCCCCGCGAGGCCACGAACCGTGTGAGGCGTGTGCCGAGCGGGGTGCGGGTGCGCCATTCGGGCGCTGCTGCTAGAGTCGTCGGAGGAGCTCCCTATGGGGCGACGAATCGTGTGAGGGGTGTACCAGAGTGGCTGACACGTGGAAAGCGAGGCAGGGGTGCGAGGAGGGAGGAGAGCAGCGGGAGAGGAATGGCGGGAGTCGAAGAATGCGGGGCGCTATCTCTTCAAAACGAAGACCCAACACCACATAATAGTCGGGAGTAGATCCCCCGTGAATCTTATTCCAGTGCATTTGTTTGAAGAGGTGGAGAAAGGCAAGTGGGAAGACGAAAAAAGCTGGTGCTCAACGCACTTCATGCCAACTTGCAAGGCGATGATGGGTCCCCGACGTGCGCGGGGAGTCGGCTGCCAAGAACAACATGTGCCAACCAAATCTGTCCACAACAATCGGGCGCTGGCGTGACTGGGCTTAATAGGACTTGGTGTAATGCTGCTGGAGGGACGCCCGTTCACTAAATGGAACTGCCGTCACTCGAAGCCGCACAAGCTACCGCAGACTTGGTTTAGCGATTCTGGACAATGTTCTGGGCTCTGGGGCCCAATCACTGACCAGCTCCACTCACCCAGGGTCCTGGCAATATCAAAACCAATAGAGACCTCCAGGATGGGGCCGGGTAGATGGAATCGGAAGATCGCCCCGCATCGCGGATGCATCAACGATGCATCGGCGATGAATCGGCGACGTCGGCGATGCACCCGTGACGCCAGCGTGGAGAAACTCGGGATTCACCTCAAGACGAATCGCCCGTGCATCGGCGATGCAGCGGGCTACCTCCTCCTCCGCCTCCACCTCGTGCCCATTCTCCACCTCCTCCTCCTCCTCCTCCTCCTCCTCCCTCTCCTTCTCCTCCCCCCCTCCTTGTCCTCCTCCTCCTCCTCCTCCTACTCCTCTTCCCCACCCTCCTGCTCCTCCGCCTCCCCTATCCTGCTAATATTGACTCTCCTTCGCACTCGCTCCTCCACACCTCCCTCCTCCTACCGCCACTCGTCCAAAAGGGGCGGGGGCGGCGCCTGCGGAACTCCTTGATGTACTCCGGGTACGTCTCCAGGAGGCACGTCAGCAGCGCGCAGCCCGAGAGGAGCACGCCGTGGTTGCGGTCCTTGCTGCCACATTCGCCCTGCCTCCCCCTCCCCCCTGTCCAAGTAGGGAGAGGGGGAGGAGGAGAGCGGGAGGAGGAGGAGGCGGAGGAGGAGCAGAAGGAGGTGGGGGATCGGACAAGGACACGACATTGCGTTTGCGCCTCGGGGCGCGTATTCCGGCACTGCAGGAGCATGCGCGATTGCAGGGGAGGCCGCTAACAGTCACTGCACCGACATGGAAAAAGATACTGAAGAAGTAAAAGAAGAAGGCACAAACCCTAAAAACCCACCTCAAATTGTTCACAAAGGGTAGACACCCTGCCTACAACCCCCCGTGAGTCAGGTTCTTTGGCCCCCCAGGGGGAGGGCAAAGAAAAAGATCCCCAAAAACAGAACAACGGAACCCGGATTCTTCAAATCCATTCCCCTCCCTACGGTTCGCCATGCTCCCTTCACTTCCAGCATGGATGTGCGCTTGGCGGTGCCTCCTGTGGGGCTGTGGCGGAAGTCTGGCTGCACTGGGCTCATACAGGGCTGTATAGGGATGGTATTCGGGTCTATGAGGGTCCTATAAAATCCTCGTAGGGATCCTACCAACTGTAACACGATCCCTATAGGGATCCTACCAGCTATAGGAGGGGATCCCTCCGGGGATCATACTACAGTTGTAATGAGATCCCTCTGGGGATCCTACCAAATGTCTGTAGGGATCTTACCAGCTGTGATAGGATCTCTACGGAGATCCTGCCAACTGTAATTGGACTCCTGGTAAGGATCCTACCAGCTGTAGTAGGATCCGTGTACGGATCCTACTAGGAGTCATATAATCAATTCTCTCTGGGGATCCTAGCAGGAATAAGTGGGAGAAATAGTACGAGTCCTCCTCCTCCTCCTCCTCCTCCTCATCTTCCCCTCCCCATGCTCCTCATCCTCCTCATCCGCCATCTACTCCTCCTCCTCCTCTCTCTTCTCCTCACCATCACCATGATCATCACCATCATCAGCATAAGCATCATCAGCATCAGCGTAATCATCATCACAAATCACCATCACCATCATCATCATCATAATCATCATCACCACCACCATCATCATCACCATCAGCATCAACATCAGCATCATCAACATCATCATCATCACCATCATTATCAGCATCCATATCAACAGTATCTTCATCATCAGCAACCTCATCACAGTCATCATCCTCATCACCCTCATCCCTCATCACCCTCATCGTTCTCATCATCCACATCATCCGCTCCATCCCCAGCATGGTCACCAGCAGCACCATCATAAACATCAGCATCAGCATCAGCATCATCATCAGCATCATCAGCATCATCATCATCATCATCAACATCAGCATATTCGTCATCATCATCATCATTACCATCATCACCACAATCATCATCATCACCATCACCATCCGTTTCAGCATCCATATCACCACTATCTTCACCACCAACAACCTCATCACAATCCTCATCCTCGTCACCCGCATCCCTCACCATCCTCATCATCCGCATCATCCGCTCCGTCCGCATCATCGCCACCAGCAGCACCAACATAAACATCAACATCAGCATCAGCATCATCAGCATCAGCATCAGCATCATCATTATCATCATCACCACCATCATCATGAGCAGCATCATCAACATCATCATAATAACCACCACTACCACTATCATCATCATGATCATCAGCACCAACATCATCATCATCAACCTCATCAACATCCATCATCAGCAGCAGCATCAGCATCAGCATCATCAGCAGCAACATCACCATCAACATCACCATCCTCATGATCACCGCCCCGCCATGACCCACGTCCCTCCTCCCCATCCTCCTCCTCCGCCTCCACGTCCTACTCATCCGTTTCCTCCTCCAGTCCTAAAGATTCCACCACTTGCCAATCCTGAGAGGGCCTCCTATGGAATCCTTGGAATTCCCACGGAACCTACCATTTCCCCAAAGTATTGGGAGGGCCTCGTGGGGAATCCTAGAGATTCCGAGGGGTCCGATCAATTGCCAGATTCATGAGAGGACCTCCTGAGGAGTCCTAAACATACAAAAGGATCAAACAATTCCCAGATTCCTGGGAAGCCATCCTCGGAATCCATAAAGAATTCCTAGGAATCCGACCACTTGCAAGAATGCGGAGAAGGCCTCCTAAGGTACCGAAGGGTTTCCGAAGGATCCGACCGATTCCCAGATTCCTGGGAGGGCCTCAAAAAGGAAGCCTCGGAAGGACCTCGCCAAGCGCCAGACTCCTCTGAGGGCCTCCCAGGAAGTCCTAGGAACTCTTAGGGATCCGAATATATATATATATATATATATATATATATATATATATATATATATATATATCGGAACTTCTCAGGATCCGACTCATCGCCAGATTCCTGAGAGGGTCTCCAATTCCGAAGAGGTCCGACCAATTCCCAGATTTCTGGGAGGGCCTCCTGAGGAACCCTCAGAATTCGTACGAAAAGGTCCGACCAAATCCCAAATTATTTGGAGGGCCTCGTGGGGGATCCTAGGAACCCCTAGGGACCGGACCAATTGCCAGATTCCTGAAAAGGCCCCCCTAGGGATTCCTACGAATTCCGAGGGAGCCGACCAATTGCAATATTCCGCAGATGGCCAGAGTCTTGGGAGGGCCACGTTGTAAATTCAGGGGATTCCTAAGGACCCCACCAATTTCCAGATTCCTGCGAGAGCCTAGGGACCCTACCAAATCTCAGACTCCTGGGAGGGCCTCCAAGAGAAGCATAGGAATTCCTGAGGATCCTACATGTTCCGAGATTCCTGGGGAGGCCTCTTAGGGAATCCTGGCCACCCACTTGCCAATTGCCAATCCTACAGAATCCTAGCAAGTCCCAAGGGTCCCCAATTCCCTACGGAACTCTATAGGACCTACGCGGGCGCTATAGGATCGCTACGGAATCCCATGGGATCCCTACGGAATCCTATAGGATCCCCTTTAAAGGGACCCTATACGATCCCTACGGAGCCCCATGGGACCCCTGCGGAACCCTATATGATCCCTATTATAGGGCTAGGACCCTCACAGAACCCTACAAGATCCGTACGGGAACCCTAGATCCTTATAGGGGCCCATCGGATACATGTGGAAAGTTGACCTGGAAATCGGTGTCACCATGGATCTCCCGACCGATGTCACGATCGAGTTCGCGATGCCAATATGGATCGCACAATGGATGTCACTATCGGTATCACGAGCGGCCGGACAATCAATATAACAATCGATCTCACAATCGATGCCACGATCGGTATAACAATCGATCCCACCATGAATCAAACAATTCATGTCGCCATCGGTGCCAGTAGCGATCTGAATATCGATCTGACGTCCAGCCCACAAGTGATCTCACAATCCATGCTTCGATCAATCATCTCACTATGGATCTCACCATCAGTCTCCCCATCGATCTCATTATAGATTTCATGGTCGATCTCACCATATTTCTGACTGTCGATCTCCTGATCGACATCACGAGACCGAAGTGAAACGACCACGGCAAAGGCAGCGGCGAGGGAGGCAACAGCGGCGGCGGCCCCCCTCCTCGTCGATCGTGATTGTCGTTGTTTGGGGAAACGAACACGTTCCGATACCGCCAGTCCCTCTTCCCCGAACCACTCCCGAGATTCGTTCCGACCCGAATTTCAACGAAAATCCAGCGGTGGCGACAAGGGCCTCCCAGGAGACACAAACAAGAGACAACGAGGCAAGGGTGGTGGGATAGTGGTCTGCGATACTTGTTCCTCATCCGATCGACGTCGCCAATCTTCGTCGTCGTCGGTCGTCGTCGTCATCGCCTCACCAGTTCGTCTGGTCGTTCCTCCTCCTCCTCGTCCTCCTCCTCCCTCCTTCTCCTTGCTCCTCGTTGTCGTCCTCCTCACAATCAATGTAACAATCAATCTCACGATCGATGCCACGATCGCTATCACGATCAATCCCACTATCGATCAGACAGTACATGTCTCAATCGGCTTCAGTAGCGATTTGAATATCGTTCTGAATGTCCAGCCCACGAACGATCTCACAATCCATGTTTCGATCAATCCTATGTCTCACTATGGATCTCACCGTCGGTGTCCCTATCAATATCAGGACCGAGTTCATGATTGCTCTCACGATCGTTCTCACTGTCGATCTCCCGATCGACATCACGAGACCGAAGTGGAACGACCACGGCGACGGCAGCGACGAGGGGTGCGACGGCGAGGGCGGCCCCCCTCCTCGTCGATCGTCGTCGTCGTGGTCTGGGGGAACGAACACGTACGGATACCGCTACTCCCTCTTCCCCGAACCACTCCCGGGATTCGTTCCGACCCGAATTTCTACGAGAATCCAGCGGTGGCGACGAGGGCCTCCCAGGAGACACAAAAAAGAGACAACGAGGCAAAGAGATGTGGGATAATGATCTGTGATACTTGATCCTCCTCGATCGTCGTCGCCGATCTTCGTCGTCGATCGTCGTCGCCGTCGCCTCACATGTTCGTCTGGTCGTTCCTCCTCCTCCTCCTCGTCCTCCTGCTCCTCCATCCTCATCCCTGCTCGTCGTCGTCGTCCTCCTCCTGCAGAGATGCCGAAAAACAGAAATGCGGAAGGGCATTTCAAGCGAATCGCCTGAAACACCGCCCACACACAATCTTGACGCGAATCCTGCAGGGCCGTGGCCCCTAACGGATGATCCCCTCGTGGTATCCTAGTGCTACGCTTGGTAAATCGCAAAAGCCACTTGACCAAAGAAGGCGAAAACAAGTTGAGCAACCCCATTGCTGAAAACGCTTGTCGCACGCACCTATTTGAATTCATCCACATCGAATTCGCCCATTTGAAATTCATCCGGTTTGAATTTGCCTGGTTCAAATTCATCCGGTTTCAATTAGCGGATACAACCCTCCAGACTCCTCTGCCCCTGGACTTCTCCCGGCCACCCCGAGCGACTCCCTGGGGCGAGCCCCGGCCAGTGATGGCGATAAGCGT